CATAGTTACTATTCCTGTCACTAGTGACAATATGCTTGGTCTTAGTTTTTCAACTCTGAGAGGCAACAGTTCTTTTCAAAACCCTTTGTAATTCTCTTTCTGACTAAGAGATAAAGAAGAAAGAAAAGGTGCTTAGGTAGGCATTTCATTTTCAGGTATGACTGATGTACACAACACGCTGAAGTTATGTGGTTGCCCTGATAAATGAGACCACTGCACTTCCAGCCACAAGCTGACTGAGGATTGTTGTCAGGGTGCTTTAGTATTACAAATAGTGCTGCTGTTGCTTTTGGGATATTTTTGAAGTGTTGAGCTCTTAGTGAAGGTCCAAATAATGTATGATCTTCCATTGAGTATGTGATAATTGCACTCATATTTAAACCGTCTGCAGATTCAGCCAGTCAAGGATTGTGTACTATGGGCTTAGTCCTTCAGTATTTGTATCCGTACTGACCAGGTGCAGACTTTTTTTCCTTGTCATTATTTCCTAAATAACACAGTATAACAATGCTTTATGGTGCGTTTACATTGTATTAGGTATTATATGTAATTTAGAGATGATTTAAAATATAAAAGTTCATTAAATTACTTAACAGTGAAATTGTAAATATTAAAAAATTGTCATGGTTTAAATTTCTAATGTGGTAACTATGTATAGATATATATAAGCTACATAATTAAACTCTTTGGGGTCCTCAATCTTGAGACTGTAAAGTGGATCTGGGACCAAAAAGTTTGTGAACCACAGGTCTAGAGTAATGTTTTTTTGCTTTGTTTTTGTTTTAGAGCATTGCTTTCAACTGGGTATGCATTGGAATCACTCAGGAGTCCACATGAACCTAGCAACATTGGTGGATGTGGGAAAGGGAACTGACAGCTGGGCAGTGAGGAGGCAGAGATGTTTTACTGAAGTGAATGCTATACTTTCTCATCTCGAGGTTCTAAATGTGATACTTATTCAGGGTGACTATTGTGAGTCCATCTTTAGGAGTTCAAGTCTGTAGGGAGCTTGGTGTCTGAAACACTGAGATGTAGAATATGCTATTTGGACCTGTGTCTGGAGTTGAAGGTTGCTTCTTGGTGGTGCTCACACTGTTGGTGTTTTTATCTTAGCCATTCTGCTAGGTGTTCAGTGAGAGCTCATTGTGTTTAGATTTCCTTTGCCTGATGATGTTGACCATCTTTCACAACTCCTTTTTTTTTTTTTGTTTTTTTGCCATTTAAATAAATATCTTCCTGATGACGTGTTTGTTCACAGCTTTTTTTTTTTTTTCTTGGTGGTACTGGGGTTTGAACACAAGGTCTCATGCTTGTTAGGTAGATGGTCTATCACTTGAGTCACTCTACTAGCCCTAGTGTTGGGTATTTTTGAGGTGGCGTCTGGTGAGCTGTTTGCCTGGGCTGGTCTCGAACCATAATTCTGATCTCTGCCTCCTGGGTAGCTAAGATCACAGGCGTGAGCCACCAGTGCCCAGCTTATTCACGGTTTTTGCTTGTGTTTTGCTGGATTGCTTTTTCTGTTCTTTTAGAGTTTTGAGTGTTCTTTATATATTTGGATACATGTCCTTTGTTGTATATGTGTTTTGCAGATGCCTTTTCCTCAGCATTTTCATTCTCTCTGTCCCTCCCCTCCCCCAATTGGGGTTTGACTGCAGGGCCTCCCACTTGGCTAGGCAAGCGCTCTACCACGTGAGCCTCGCCCCCTTAGCCCTTTTTGCTTTGGTTATTGGGTCTGGAGGTTTTGCCCAGGCCAGCCTGAACCTCAACCCTCTCTCTTATGCCTCCTTCATTATTGGGATAACAGGCACTGGCCACCACACCCAGCTTTAGTCATTGAGATAGGGTCTCCCTGATTTTTTGCTGGGGCTGGCCTTGAACCGTGATCCTCTGACCTCTGCTTGCCCTAGTAGCTGGGATTTCAGGTGTGAGCCTCCATGCTTGGCTTCATCTTTTTGTTTTAAGCTGCCTTCGTTCATCATTGTGTTTTGGGTGGTTCTAGGTAGCAAATAGATTTAAAGGGTCACTTTTCCAGCTCCCTCTTCTGTGGTCTCTGTTCTGGCTAGAATGCCTGCCAGCGTTGCACACTGTGGGAGTGTTGTTCTGTTACTGGTGTGTGCTGGTATTGGAGGGGCAGTGCATTGCAGGTGGTGCTGTGGGTGAAGAGCAGAGGGTGTTGGTTCCCCAGGATCTCTGGCTGTGGGACTGGGTTGCCTCCCAGCCTCTGGCTGGGGAAGGGGGCTGGGGAAGGGGCCTGTCTGGAGCTTTTTCTGTCTGCCTACTTGTGGTTTGGAAGGTTATGCAGCCCCAGCTGGAGTGTATGGGAGGCAAACAAGCAAGCAAACAGTATGAAAAACACAAACAAAAACCAGGGAAGTGCTCCAGGTCTCTGGATTCCTGAGTAGCACACCCAGTGTACCCCAATTCCCAATGCTCAGAGTTGTGTTGTCATCACATCAGTCTACTCCACTCATCTGAGATGCCTGTCATTTCTTCTCTAAAATGAAGCCGTTTCCATCTTTCAGAGGTGCTACATAGTTTTTGTTTCAAGAGCTCTCCTTTAGTTTTCTGGCTTTCTTTGTGTCTTCTTGAGTTCCTTCATTTTTTCTTTGCCTTTCTAGGAGTTTAGGATTCTGTATGAAGTTGAGGGGAAGGAAGCACACTGAGTACAGCTTGAATTCTGAGGTGAAATTCAAGTTCGTAGTTCACATTCCTTTTGATGAATGCAGGGCAGTGCGGACTTTTGTTGGTAGCTGCTGCAGGGGTTGTCTCTTCTCTGATGGCCTGCCTGCTTCGTTGGATGGAGGTGGAAGTGGGCACTGCCCACAGTGGGCAGAACCAGGGCTATCTGTGGAGCCTTCACTTCATACTTCACAGAAGTGGGCGGACAGGCAGGTCATGTCACCCACTGCCACCCTCAGCCCCCTAAAGGCGATTGCTCTCCTAGAAGGGCCAGGGCTAGAGTACATCCTCCTGACCCTGGGTGTCATTTTGCTGCCAAGCCTGAAGGGGGCAGCTGTTCCTTCTCACTTCTGCATTGAGAGGCCTCAAGGCTGGGAGCTCCCTTCTTAGGTGGAATATTGGGTTTCATTCTGGGTGAAGCAGCTGCTATAAACCAGGTAATTAGTAACCCAGTTCCTTTCTTCTCTTCTCGTCTTCTTTCTGCCAGGGGCTCTTTCACTGTGCCCTTGTCCTTTATTCTCTTGCACTTGGAAATTCATTCTGCTCCAGTTCCTCCCTGATTCTGCCTGGCCCCATCTTGTACTTTCTTATCTTGCCTGTTCCAATTTCCATCTTTTTGCCTTTTTGTTTTAGTATTTAAGAGAGTCCCTCAGCTTTATTTTCTGTTATTGGTACATGTTAATTGTGCATGTTAATGAGGTTTGCTGTGAGATTTCCATATATGCATAAGTGTGCATTGATCATACCCTTCTACCTTTTTTCTACTTTTGCCCTCATCACAACAGTTTGCAGTTCTTCAGCTTTAAATACAAGCCTTCTGCTGGTTTAACAAACACTGCCGTTATGTTCTCTCTGGATGTATCTGTAGCATCTGGTTTTTATTTCCTAGATGCATTACATTTTATACCTGATGATTTCTGCTTTAAGTAGTCTTTCCCCCATTTTCCTATGTACTGTATTGTTGCTCCTTGTGGAGGATTCTGTTCTCTTTCTGTTTTTATCTCTTTTGTCTTGAATGTTATTTTCAAATGTCTGACAACATCTGTCCTTTTAATAGTTAAGAGTTAACTTGGTTCAGAAGGTCTTTGCCTGGGCAGCCTTTGCCAGGCGTTGTGCTTTCTTGTGGAGGGACCCCGCCTGTCATTGTCTTATCTCTTGACTTGGTCAGTTTTCCACGGAGAGCTGGTGGTCCCTCAGTTCAGTCTCTCTCTTACTCTGCCGTGCGGGTCAGTGTTGGTCAGTAGGGTGGGCTTGGGTAGAGGACTTGGGTCTGTTTTCCATGCAGACTTGCAGCAGACTGCTCCTTTTGCCATGGAAGTTGTACCCCTGGAGAATGGAGCGCTTACCTGGTCTGCATGCAGGGGCTTGTGCAGAGGGCACTGTTTTTCCCCTTGCCTTTGTCTCCCACTTTCCTTCCCCTGCCTATCCCCTCAGACATCACCGTCCTCCTGATCATCCTGCACCCACCTCCTGATCCAGCTGTGGACTCTCGTGCTTTGTGGACTTCTTGTTGGCTTCACTTCTTCCTTGTTTTCTTTGCCTTTGAAAAACTGCTTTATTCTCATTTTAACGGCATTTTTGAAGGGAGTAGAGGGAAACACGTGTTAAAGTCGTCTTTATCTAGAAGTGCAGTTACAAACTCTCTGACTGTTGCAAATGTGCCTGTGTTTTGTGTTTTTGACTTGGGAGCTGCTCAGAGACTGTGTTGAGGAGGCTTGCTTCTCATGTCCAAGGTCTAGTCTATGATTTCTTTTTTGTGATCATCAGTCTCCTAGAGTTTTCCAGCTGTCTGGCCTCTTGCTGTCTCTTTCCTCTGACTCACTCACTCACTTGCTAGATCTCTTAGTAGCTTCTCTGTTCTCTCAATTGGGGCCTGGGGGAGGAGGCAGGTAGATTCATGTGCCCAGGCTGCTCTTGAACTGAGAGCACTGGGTGGCCAACACAGCCTGACTGGTGGTAATGTGTCCCCTTTGTTTACTTTTCAGCTGACGTAGCCCAGCAGTTCCAGTTTGCCGTGAGAGTTATTGGCAGCAACTTTGCCCCAACTGTTGAAAGAGATGAATTTCTAGTAGCTGAAAAAATCAAGAAAGAACGTGCGTATTCTTCTTAACTGTTAAATGTGTTGGAGCCTGAAGCTTGTCAAAGCTTAAGAATACAAGTATGCACATGTATGTATTTATGTAGGTAGTTCCTAGCCACATTTTAATATAGGTACTATTAAAAACAGGACTACTCAAGTCTGTCTTGGAATTAAATCCATTACAACATAGTGGAGGAGGTTGGCTTTAAGTAATGTGATATTTGGTTTTAGAGAATGGAAGATAAGATGGCTTAATGCAGCTTCCTGCATTGACCAGCTAGCACAAAGCACTGTCCTGGCAGTGAGTCAGTTGTTGCACACATTCACTGTCATCATTTGGCTTTCTCTTTAGAACTGCATGAGCACTTTCATTCTGAGGTGGCACTTGGTAGCACTCGTTTTGTTAATGGTTGTCAGCTTGGATGAGGCAGGCTCAGCCACCCTATTATGGGCTCTATGGCAGGCAGACTGCGAAGAGTTACTGTGGTCCTGGTTGGAGGGTGGTTTACGCTGGTGGCTAGAGCTGGTGCTTTTCAGCTGGACTGGAGAGAGGCCCGTCTTGAAAAACAGGACCTTTTTCCTCCTGTTGTCTCACTGTTAAACTGCCCATTGAAGCGTATTTGGCCTTGGTCGCAGGTGTTTTGCAGGCTGGTAATAATACTTCTAGAAGTTGTTCTGCATGGCATAATTTCCACCCCGAACCCGTGATAGTTGCTGCATTGGGCCAGGAGTCACGTGGATGTTGTGTTTCAGAGCTGTGTCACCAAGTAGGAGGAAGAGTTGGCTGGTGACAGAGCTGGGGTGGTGGCCTGTGAGTAGATGGCTCTGGCCTTACTGACTTTGCCCATTTAGGGCTTGAGCAGGTGAGTGCAGGGACCCATCTGCCTACTGTCAGGACCTTGGTGTTATCAGGGTATGCACAGTGGCCCCACCCCTGTCAGCTATTTGCCTTTCCTGGTTTAATTTGCTCATGGTCAGCCACAGTCTGAAAATACCAAATGGGAAATCCCAGAAACGACAGTTCATACCACCAGGATGTGAATCATCATCCCTTTGTCCAGCATGTCCATGCTGTGTGTGCTGCCCGCCCTGCCGATCCACTGCCTTCTTCCCTCCCTCCCTCCTGCTGTCCCAGGTAGCTGGGATTATAGGTGTGCATCGTCATGCCTGGCCACCTTGTTTTTCTTAATGGCCTCAGAGCAGTGGTGCTCGCAATTTGTACACACATAGAGAAGCCATAAAGGGTGTGAGTTGCTGATGCTGTGTGCTCACCCATGGTGTGCCTAGCAGGCGTCCACTGGCTTTTCTTGTCCCCTTCACTGGGCACCCCCTCTCTTTGCTTGTGGTCCTCTTCTGTGGTGGTCACGTTGACCTGTCACATTGGGTGGATTCTTAGGCATTTGAAGTTTGGTTATGGTTGTTGGCATCTCGGATAGCTGAGTTAGTTGTAGTAGTTTTGCACTCTGGAATATCACAGAAAAGTTAATTTTCTATTTTGTGTGGCTGACTTCAAATACAAATACAAAATGTTTCCATACTGAAACAAATAACAAAAGTGAACATGCATGGTAGTATTTTAGACCTTTTTGTTCCTTAATTTTTGACATTGTAACTCAAGATTTGCTCAGCAGTTCTATAAGTAAAACATCACTTGGAAATATTCTGTTGCTTTTTCTCTTACTATTATGACAATAATATTCCTGTGGAAAATTTTATTCTTTAGAAAGAACATCACTTGTTAATTTAATGGGTGTATTTATTTGGGGTATATTTCTGTTTTTTATTGGTTTTTGATACTACATTTTAACTGCATTAGTTTTGTTGAATATCCTTTTTATAATACATTTGTAATTTAGCCTTTCCTTTCTGTGTTGAAAAAGCTGAAAGAACAGATGTGAATGCACATAGCTTCTAGTGTGTGATTGATGCTATTAGTGCCGATACCAGGATCTGTTTTTCCATGGTGGATGTGGAAAGCTAATCATTATCTAGCTATAAAGGAATCAGAACATTCAAAGATAAGTGTCATGGGCTAATGGGATTTTCATAAAGTTCACTCCTAAAATGGGATCAGTGTAGCGATCATGAGAGAGCAGAGAAATTGTAGGTTGACTTTATTTGTTTGTTTATTTTTTTGAGGTAGGGTCTTGCAATGTAGTCCATACTGGCCTTGAACTGGCACTATGAGATCTTCCTTCCTCAGCCTCCTAAGGGTTAGGGTTACAGGTGCTTACCACCATGCCCAGCTCCTATGTTGCCTTTAAACATGGAACCTTTCCTGGCAGGTATAGTGGTTTCCTCCAGAGGCATCTGTACGCAGTGGTGTGTGCTCTATGGGTCCTTAGGGGACCATGTCTGGTCTGCAGCTTCTCCCTTGCGATGGAACAGAGCACAGGATGAACTTGTATGCCATGCTTCTTTCAGATAATTTGTGAGTGTAACTAGAACATCCAAAGACACTTACTAGTATAATGATAATTAATCAATAAGCTATTTTAGTTTTTATTTTGAAATAGTAGCTCCTACTAAAACAAGGTGAAGCACTGCTGTATATCTTAACAAAAATGAGCTTTTAAGTCAGATGAACTATTATGAATGTTAATATGTGAACTATTATTTATTGCCTTTGAATTTAGGATGCCAAAGGCATTCCTACTTTCTATTCCTCTTCTTAGCTGATGATTTGCCTCACAGTAAATTGATATTTGTAGATAGACTGTAATAATGATATTGTTTCTGTTACTTCGCCAACTTTCATATAAACTCTGCCACCCTAGCCTAGTATTTCCCCATATGTAGCAAAAGTCAGAGAGATTAGACAGGCCATCAGACTCATGGAGCTACAGATCACTCTCAGCAAGTTCTTGGGGTTAGACTCAGGATTCTTTTCAGCACTTCCGAGTCACTTGCTGGCGTAAGAGTGTCATGAAAATGAATTTTGGTACATGCGGTTAACATGCTTCATTTCTTTTCTGACTTTTCAGTTATTCGGCAAAGGAGAGAGGCAGATGCCGCGCTGTTTTCAGAACTGCACAGAAAGCTTCACTCGCAGGTATGCCAGGTATTCTCACTGTCAGGCCATGTATGGAGAGGGTGGTCCTTGGGGGTTGGAAACACTTCAAACTTTTTTGGTGCTATCACATTAAATTTTTCTACGATCATAAATGGCTTTAATTATGGATAGTGTTTCCTTTTAAGAGATTCAATATTAGAAGTAATCCTTAGCTGGACTTCATGTTAAACTTTTGTTGGAAAGGCCTGGGGCTTCTCCAACTTTGCATTGTGTTGCTGGACTCCACGGCTGGAGGAGGTGCTGGTGGAGGGGTGGACTTTCCACACCTCACAGCAGGGGCGTACCTGGCCTGTGTGCTTCGTGGTCCATCAGGTCTCACTTGCACTTGACTGGATGCTGATACTTGAAAACAAATAGTTTTCCTGATCTGATATTTTTAGAAAAGACTGTGTCAAGGTATGTGTCAGTAAATCAGTAGACTCATAAGGTTTGGTTTCTGACTGTACAGGGAGAGTTCATCCAACTTTCTCCAAATGCTAATGCTTTGTTCAAGAAGGATTGAGTTAGTGTTCTAAAGCGAAATGACTGTGGGGCGTAATGCTGACAGTAACTCATCTTCTAGCCTCTGTCTCTCTTTGTTTATCGTGCCCTGAAAACAAGCTCACGTCTTTTTCCCGGCCACTTCGATGCCTTAGTTCAGTTTGACTTTTGGTTCACTGTTTGAGTACACTTTTCTAGGTCTCATCATGTTTACAAAGTAAGAAGTAGGAATCTCTTTTGTGCGGTTACTTCCTGGCTAATTGTTTCATGCTTTGGTATTACTTTTCCTCCAATGGTAAACATGACTTCTGCATGTTAGATGTTACAGAGCTGTGCTTACCACGTCACGTTTCCCGAGATGCTCAGCCTTGCTGGGATCCCCAGGAGATGGTTTCATCTGGTGGTGCCTATGGCATCTGTTCACGGGCTGTTGGGTGCAAACGAATTTAGGAACTTTGTTAATTTGAAATCACTGTTTCCAGAATTTTGCTTGGAATTCTGAATGTTGTTTCAGTTCTTAAACATCAGTGTTTTCAATGCTCACCAGCTTCCTAGAGCCAGCCCCTAAACCTAACCTGTTGATTTTTCTTCATTGTGTGGCTAAAACAGTATTAGGAGATGAAAGTGATATATATGTACAGATTAGTAGCCATTCTATCTTTTCGTGCTAAAAATATCCAGCTCCTCACAAGTGAGGTGGTCAAGCGGGGTGTAGTGGTGCACACCTGTAATCCCAGTTACTCAGAAGGTATGGAGACGGGGAGGATCACCCAGTAAAAAAGTTCAAGAGACCCCCATCTCAACAAATAACCTGAGTGTGGTGGTGTGCATCGTAATCCCAGGTACGTGGGAGGGCAGGTAGGATTGTGGTCTAGAAATGTGAGGCCTTCTCTGAAACAACACTAAATCAGAAGGTGAGAGCATGGCCTAAGTGGCTGCTTAGCACATGGAAGGCCCTGAGTTTAAACCCCGTATTGCCAAGAAAAGAGAGTAAGGCATTTGAATTATTTCTGTCTCTTCTCAGTGGGGCCTCTCATTTGCTGTGCGCGCCAAGGTGACTTTTAGTCCTGATGCAGGGAGGGCCGGCGTGATGTAGGGGCACGGGACTTTGAGCTGGGCTTAGGAGGGTGACGTGGAAGCACACTGAACAGCTGGGACTGATGAAGGGATGGGGCAGTGAGGGGACCATGGGTGTAAGGGGCTGGGTAGTTCCTGGCCACTCTTCTGCAGCTGAGGTCCCTGGTGCCACTGTGTGGGATGCTGGCCACTGTACAGAAGCATCCTAGATCCTGTCCTGTCATGTTTCTTTGTTTCAAATCCAGTTTTCACACAATTCTTAAAGCCATGTGTCTGAATGGAGGCCCTTTTGAGAGTGTTTAAGGCGTTGATGCTGCTAGAGTTGTCAGGATGATAATCTTGTGCTCCTCCAGGTCTCTTCCTCTTTGCCTCCTGGGCTTTGGCTGGAGCTGTCTGAAGCACCAGGGTGAGGTTGCAGGAAGGAAAAGATTGAGGCTGCTTGGTGGCTCCTGGTTGCCAGGTGGCTGTGTGGTTTGGTAGTGTCCAAAGTCTCACAGGAAGCCCCCAGTTGTGTCATCCTTAGGTCTGGGCAGACCTTCTCCACCCTGTCTTTACAGCCTAGTGGGGCAGAGGGAGCTCTTGGCTAGTGGAGTTCCCAACTGCTGCAGCCTCTTCTTTGTGGTGCATTCCTGCTTCTTGGATACACTGAATGCTAATTAAGCAGGCTGATTTGGCTGTTGATACCTGCTCTTTTGTTATGTGGTGGGCATGTCTGTAATTCCAGCACTGGGGAGGCTGAATTAGGAAGATCACAGGGTCAAGGCCAGCCTGGCTGCATTTCAAGACCCTGTCTCAAATAAACCTCAGACAGCAACAACCAAAAGCTGCCTTCTTTCCAGATTTATCACTTGCTAGTTTTCTGTGCACAATTTGTTCATTTCATTTTTGGAACTTGTATATTCCTACCTCCCGCATATCCTTTCTGAGGTAGGGACCTCGCTGTATTGCAAAGAACTTTTCCTGTCTTTCCTGTGCTCCTGGCTGCCTTCCCTCACACATTCCATAAGACACCCCCACGGAGCCTTGCAGCTTGGCCTCCTCAGAGTCCACAGGAGCACTTTTCCTCATTTTGTGTCGATTCGCATCTGCATGCAGCCTGCCTTTTCCATGTTCTCTGTGGTGTATGACTGCACCTGATCCTTTTGCATCTGCATCTCACATTGCCAGCCTTTCCCTCTGTGTTGGCTGTGGCATGTGGCAGCACCTGATCCTTCCGTACCTGTATTGCACATTGCTGACCTTTCCCTCTGTGCTGTCTTGTGGCAACACCCTGACTGTTGCCATCTTGGCTCCAGATCCCGTGGAGGCTCCTCTTATGCATGCCCCTTCCTGTCCCTTTTGGAGTCAGGCAGACCTTGGTCTGAATCATTGTGATTGAGGTGGAATCTCTGAGAATAAATTCAGTCATGGTGTTGTGGTGATGAAGGAGATGGTGTATGTACTGTGTGGTCCTGTAGGCATCTCCAAATGGCAGCTGCTATATTGGCTGATTGTTCAATGATACTAGAGAAATGGGATTTGGGGGAGAGAGTTTCTGGAGCAGACAGAGTGCTGGTTCTGGGTCTTCTTACAGGGATGGTCAGGATGTGACCTCGAGCATAACTCAGCTATATTTCTCCTCTAGGTGGCTGCAGTCTTCCTGTGTATCCTCTAGCCAGTCCATCCACAGTCAGTGACATCACTCTTACAGGGATGCTTCAAAGGCTTTCTGCTGACTTGTTTGAAAACTCAGTGTCCTAGCCCAGCATGAGGCCCTTTCATTCTGTTTTTGGTTTCCCTTTGACTCTTAGCTCTAGTCAGAGTGATCTGTTTGTACTTCCTGTCTGTCCTTTGCACTGCTGATCTTTCTGGAGACCTGAGCCTCCTCTGGGAGTCCTTCCATGCGCTGTGAAGCCATTTTTCGTGCTGATTGGCCTGCTTGTCTGCTTACCACTAGACAGGGATTGAATCAAGGCTAGTGTGCTTTCTTATCCTTGCGTTCTAGCTTGGGAATTGGTTGAATTTCTGGAAGAATATCTGTAAATTACTGTCTCAAGTTTCCTGGCAGCTGAGTGTTCGACAGGCAGCTCTTGAGTTTAGGTCTGCCTGGTGCCGAGACCGCACTTACACTTTAGAATTCCTTTATGGACTTCTCTATTTTATAGCTGAAGTGGCACGTTAATAAGAAAACAATTCACTGTTTTATGATGACATTTCTCTTATCATTGTGTTTGGGAAGTTCTAAGAATTCTTTCACAGGAGGCAATACTGGGGTAATGTAAAAGAGGCGTTCTTATTGAAGACTTGGTGCTCAGGGGAATTGGAGGACCTCCCTGAGCAGAGCATCCCTTCATACTGCTTTGGATGCTGTTTGTTGTGCATGAAATGAACACAGATTGAATGCTGTCAGGTGAATTTTAAATGCATTTCTACCTCGGGAGTAAGAACAGTTTGGGAGACAGGAGCATTAAATTGGAGAGCTGTAGAAATAGTTCTTGTAATTTTTTCTAAACAGGGAGTTTTGAAAAATAAGTGGTCAATACTCTACCTCTTGCTGAACCTCAGTGAGGACCCTCGCAAGCAAGCAAGCAAGGTGAGTGGCTCCCGTGAACAGCAGTCTTTTGCTTACTTTTGATGGGAATCAGCTTCTGTAGCCAAGACAATTATTGGAGAAAAGCAAAAAGCTCGTTTTGTCATGGAGGTCAAGTCATTTCTTTCTTCTTTTTAAGGACATTTTCAGTTAGTGTGCAGTTTCTTAAGAGTCTGTTTCAGAATTAGGTTCTTCTGAAATATGTGTGCAGTTACATTAGTGTAAATTGTTAGTTTAAAAACTGTGCTTTGGAAGCTAGGACTATCAGTCCAGGAGGGGTCATTCTTCGTGTCTGGAAGCCCCGCGGGGTTTCTTGTGCCTTCAGATCAGGGGCACTCCTCACTGCCACAGTGACGGAGCTTCCTGCTGCCACGTGGGTCTGTTTTGACTGTGCAGACCTAGGGAGTACAGTCTGACTGTTTCCTGCCCTGGGGTTTAGTGCAATAAAGCACACTACTGCTTTACTGGAGGATGTGAAAAGCTGAGGCACGTGGGCGGAAGAGTTCTATTTATCTCTGATGCCTCCAGCTTCTCCTTAGGATAGAACAGTGGCAGACTTGAAATTACTTGAGTTTCATTTGGCAAATGTGGAGTAAATACTGCCCAGCGCTCAGACCTGGTAGTTGTTGAAATTCAGAAAACTTGTAAAACTTTGTCTGTTCTGAAACTGCACTGAATTAGCATCTCCACTGATTCATCGTTTAATAAGTGTGAAATCTGACTTGAATTCAGAGGTAGCAGAAGAGGAATATGAACTCTCTCATAATATGAGGAGCCTGTCCTGTACTTTCTTTTCTCTCTCTCAATGCACTTCCATTTCAGGTGCCTGGCTATGCTTCACTGTTTGCACAAGCACTCCCGAGAGACGCTCATTCAACTCCCTACTACTACGCCAGGCCTCAGTCCCTCCCCCTCAACTACCAGGACCGGAGCACCCAGGCGGCACAGAGCTCAGGAAGCCTGGGCAGCAGCGGCATCAGCAGCATCAGCATGTGTGGCCTCAATGGCCCCGTGCCCGCACAGCAGCCTCTCCTCCCGGGGTAACGCATGTGGGGTGACACATGCTCGCGGGGCAACACACGCTCGTGTGCTCCTGCCACCGTAGAACCTGAGATGTCCCAGGGCTCTTGGCCAGCCCTCTGTGTGTACTGTCCTGCCCAGGGCCTCCTATGGGCCTCATTAGCAATGTAGGCCATGACTTTAGGCTTTTGTCCAGGGTGAGTTGGATGCTTTAATAAATAACAGGATTGAATTATCCTCTTCACATGGATAATTTGGCCTGTTAGTGCACACATGTGAAGATGACAGGATCCAGGAATGCACAGTTAAGATGTGACAGTCTGTGTTTTCACATGCTGTCTAGACAAATTGTGTTTTGAGGAAAATACAGAACTCATGGTTGAGAATAAAGCAGGTGTCAGTGTTATTAATGGGCCTCAGAACTTTGTTTTTCTTCACTTTAAGTCCACGTTTCTGTGTGTAATGCAAAGAGCACAGCCACCTGATTGTGGCTGTGCTCTTTGCATTATTAGTTCCTGGATGTCACAGGGAAGCAGATGATGCTGAAGTGACTAGAGAATCAGCATTGAACTTGTAGCATTCTCCATGCGAGCACAGTAGAGTCACAGATCACTTTATGAGTTAGAAAATGGAGTTCAGGCTGTTAGAAAGATGCACTATGTCTACCCTGTAGGTGTTAGGGAGGGTGTGATGTGCTGTGGAGAACGTTTAATACATTCACAGGCAGCACTCGGCAGAGGTACTTTGCAATGCATATTCTGCCTAAAACAGAAGCATATGCCTTAGAATTTGAAGTGATTACTGTCATGATATAAAAAAGTTGTTTAGAGAACTTTGACCAACAAAATCAGTTGTTAATTTACAAGTGTTGTCAAGTGCAATTTTAGTCACGGCTGTTACTGACTTTGTCTCCCACATGGTTGCGCCAGAGCTTCCTCCCCTCTTGCACTGGTCCCGAATCAGTGCTTTGGCACCTGGAGGCAGTTCATTGTCTGTGCTTTTTTGTGTTTTGTAGTCCTAGAAATGACATTTTGTTTCAATTGTCCAGACATGTTATTAGAGATCAGCTGTCAGATTCTTAGATTCTAAGAGAGCAGCTGTGATGCAGCAGGATTACTAAATGGTTGTTCTAACTTTGAATGTTTGCCTTCCATTTTATGAGTTTGTACATTTCTTCAAATTAATTGAAGCTATGGCATCTAAGGGTTGGAGGGGAGTAAGGACAGGCAGGTAGGACTGGTGTTTAAATTCCTTAGCTCAGAAAGAGTTGAGCAAGTGAAAGGTGGAAATCTGGAAGTTAAATTAGTTTAGAATCTCAAAGTGCTGTGTTTGGGTAACACATGTCAAGTATTTGTGGAGGAAAGTCCAGTAGGGAAGCAGTGTGTGGGTGGTGGAGTGGGTGTTCACCCATGCTATCTGGGTCTGACTGCTGGGCCAGGATCCCAAGGACCCTGAATCAGCTAGGGGCTGAGTGTTACTGGTGTGTCTGGTCGGGTAAGGCTGTGCTCTCCCCTTGCTCAGATTTAGACGTTAATGTAATTCAGTGTAGGAACTTGACAGGACTGTCTTGGAATGTTCTGTCTCTTCAGTGAACTGCCTGGTTGTTTGAAGACCTAAGTGTTACTTCCTTTCTCTAGACAGTCCCATCAGGCTCCAGGAGTTGGGGATTGCTTTCGACAGCAGTTGGGGTCACGACTTGCATGGACGATAACTGCAAATCAGCCTTCTTCACAAACCCCTACCTCAAAGGGCGTCCCAAATGCTCTTTCTCGAAACATGACAAGGTCAAGGAGAGACGGGGATGTGGGTGGTGAGTAAATGTGTCTTAATCAGAATTTGTCCTGTCCTTATTTTATTCTATTTATTTTTGGCGACACTGGGGGTTGAGCGCAGACCTTTGTTCTTGCTAGGTAGGTGCTCTACTACTTGACCCGCTCTGCCAGCCCTCTTGTGCTTATTTTCACGTTCTGATGCCCATCATGCACCTCATGAGTCCCAGGGCTCCTCTGGCTTGATGTGGAGGGAGCTCACTTTATGACACCTGGCTTTTTTGCTCCATGGCTGTTCACTTCTTGGCTGTATGTAGTCTGCTGCCCTCTGCAACACTCTCCCTCTTTGTTAAGTCTTCTTCCTGTCTCATTTGGCCATCCGTCCCGGGAAACCACTGTGGCTGCTTACTCCCTCAGGAAAGTCACCCTCTTGTCTACGTCTGGGTTCCATGGAGAGTGGTGTCTGTCTTGACCCCAGTGCATGTGCTTTGCACAGTGCAGGAGTGTTAGAGAAACTCAATTGATGCTTTGCTTAATGAGTGAAGACCTCACTGAGAGTTCTAAAGTCCTGCTACAGCCAAAGGCAGTCTGTATAGAGCATTTGATAAGCAGCCTTGCTGAAATGTGTCCTAGACAGTGAGAGCAACCTTTACTGTTGGTGTGTATTCTCCTGACTCTGAGGTTGTGGAGGTGTTACCCGGCCTTGGTAGCATGTAGGGTTCAGAGTGTTTTGTGGAACTGTGAAGGCACCCTGAGCCCTTGCCTGTGCAGAGGCCCTGTGTCTGCACAGCTGCTGTCTTCAGGCAGGGCTGGCACATCATCCTCCACCAGTGGTAGCCACACTGTGGTGTCATGGGTGAGGCGTGCTTTGGGCATAGAATGCCAGTATCTGAACGACTCAGAGCATTGCCCTCCTTAGCCCTAGCCAGTCCTCTGAGTCATGCTGAGTAGGAAGGTAGACTTGAGAAGGATTCTAGATTAATTCAAAAGAAGCAGAAGAAGAAGGTCAGGAAGAAAGAGTAGAGGGGAAGATAGGAAACATAGCAGGAAGGTTGCTTAAACCTGGATTGATTAGTGATTTCATTAAATGCATTAAGTATTTTGTTTATGATAGTCGTTTTTAAAGTAATTCTGTTCTGACAAGTATGTGTTGCTTACAAGAGACACATTTTCAATATAAGGACACAAATAAGTTAAAAGTAATTGGTCGGGCAAACATATCTATAACACTAGCAATGAGACAAATGGGTGCAGTGTCACTATCAAAGTAAACATCAAGAAGCAGGACCTGAGACAAGTTCGTGTCATGCCCGATCTTCAGGAAGACGCAGTAATTGTAGTCCTGTGTCATATCCACCTGAGAGAGCTTTCCATGCACAGAGTGAGGCAGACAGAGGGGAAGCAAACAGACAGAGCCCTAGCTTTTATGGCTGGGTAGATCAGTTTCGGGATCAGGCAAGGACCTGCGACATTGGAGTGGTGCTGTTGAGCAGCCTGCTGTGACTGTGGTGCACACCTGCGCTTCACTGTGTGCCATGTCTGTACGTGCAGAGCATCTTCCAGGGCCTGCTGTCCTCCATGGTGTCTTGGCTTTCTGGGTGCTCCCTCTGCCTCCTTGTCCTTCTTTTGGACCAGCCCCTCGATTCTGATTTAGCTTCTGTTCAGAGGAGTTGTGGAAACCACAGGCGAGTTTTCTGTGCTGTGAGGTTGTTTTTCAGTGTGCTGTGCTTGGTTACTAGCTCTGCAGACCTGGCCGTTGCATAAGTGTTCCTGCTGTCCTGATGACCATGTGTAGGCAGTCCTTACAGGGCTTTAGAGGAGACTCTGCATGAGCCCCGCCCCCTCTCAGAAAGTCCCTACTTATTCATAGCCTTGTACTTTTCTCATCTTAGCTCATTTATTGAGTTTGCAAATGTTGTCTGGTGGTAAATGTATAATTCAGAGCTAATCATGTCAAAATGCATTTTATCTTAAAGTGATTGCTGTCTTTAAAAAAAATCATTTTACAGGTACTATGGAAATTACTGAAGCTGCTCTTGTAAGAGACATTTTGTACGTCTTCCAGGGGATCGATGGCAAGAATATCAAAATGAGCAGCACTGAAAATTGTTACAAAGTGGAAGGAAAGGTACAGTAACAGAAAATCTTGTGTAAAATATTCACAGAGAACAGATCTCTCCTTAAGTAGCGAGCTGTCAGCCTACCAGGGTTCTGAGGCTTTTCAAGTGTGGCTGCAGCAGCACGTTCATAGATCTGGCTGACTTCCTTTGTCCAGTTGCGACTGGTGTGTTGTGGTCAGTGTTTGCTGCTTCCCCTGAATCCAGTGGTGTGGCTGTTGTAGTGCTGTCACAGGTTCCTGTGAGAGACAGGCCTCATTTGGTGTCTGCTATGGACACAGTATTCCAGACGAGGGCTCTTTGCTTGCTTTTGGTTTCTTCTCCAGAGCCTGCTTTTGCCCAGCGTGGTGTTGTGGAATCTCAGCTCGTGGCCTTTCTCAGAGGCTGAGGTCACAGACTGTGCCACCAAGGATTGTTGCAGGGTCCAGGCTGGAGCTCAGAATCCCTTCCTGGTGTTCCCTCTGCTCTGTCATCTGTGTGCATTCCTTCCTTTTAATGCTGATGTTACTTTTAACTTTCTTGTGTCAAAGCTTAAGAATTATAATATTAAGAGTACAAGTGATGAGGAAAATAATAATGAAAGTTCCAGTATTTGCTTTTTGGTTTTGACTTTGTTACCTTATTTTTTTAGGCAAACCTAAATAAATCTTTGAGGGACACGGCAGTCAGACTTGCTGAGTTGGGATGGTTACATAATAAAATCAGGAAATACACTGACCAGAGGAGTCTGGACCGTTCATTTGGACTTGTAGGTCAGGTATGTGCGTTCTTCCTGGCTTTGGAAAAGCTTAATTTAAGACCTTTAAGAACTTTATTTAAGTGAAAAATCCCTCCTGGGAAGTTCTTTCCAAAGAAAGCTGCTCTGGTAATTGATGGTGATGTGGGTTGGTGTCCACTCAGGAGGCCTGATGCCAACGGAGGCACTGACAGACATGGGTGCAGCAGGTGGCAAGAGCTGTCAGAGGCTCTCAGAGCCAAAGGAATGGGATTTGGGAGAGGCGGGGACTGGAGCAGGCAGACTTGGAGGAAGGGGTCTGCCCTGCTGCTGCTGCTGCCCCTGCCGGGGCCCAGGGGGAGGGGTAATGGGAAATGACCACGTCTGTGGGTAAGCTGGGTTTCAGTGCTACAGATGCCAGAGGTGGGAACCCACCCCGTCATTGACTGACTGGCCGTGAAAGGCAGCACTGATGGAGCTGAATGTTGTTAGAAGGCAGCTGTCTCCCTCTTCTTGACTGCTGGAACCTGGGGGCACTGGCAGCCCCTCATAGTGGGTCAGCAGCACATGGTATAGTCCACGACTTGGTTCCTTTTTGGGCTTTTGGGTGGTACTAGGGTTTGAACTCGTAGCCTCAAGCTTGTTAGGCAGGGACTCTACAACTTGAACCATGCCCCCAGACCTTTTTGCTTCAGTTAGTTTTTGAATAGGGTCTGGTGTTTTTGCCTGGGTTGTTCTGGACCTTGATCCTCATATTTATGCCTGCCTTGTAGCTGGGATCAGATGAGCACAGGCACGTGTCATCATATTCAGCTTATTGGTTGAGAGGGGGCTCACCAACTTTTTCCTGGACTGATCTTGAACTGTGATCCTCCTGTTCTCCTGAGTAGGTGAGATTGCAGGTGTGAGCCAACATGTCTGGTTCTTTTTCTTTTCTTCTGTTTGGGCAGCATTGGAGTTTGAACTCAGGGCCTGTGCTTGCTGGGCAGGTACTCTACCACTTCAGCTACTCCCCAGCCCCTCAGAACTTGATTCTTGGTAGTCATCATTGTCAATGATATCTCTCAGAAGCTTCCTGAGAAAATTGCAGAGCTGCTGTGCGCTCTAAACACTAAGTGGTGCTGCAGCTTGACTGTGGCCAGGAGTGTGGCAGGGTGGTGGTGTTGGTGGCCAGGAGCATGGCTTTGAGGTAAGGCTGCTCAGGGTTCAAGTTTTAGTTTCACTCTTAGTTGTTTGTCATCTTGTGCAGATTGCTCCTGGTAGACTTAGTTTCTTTGTATGCAGAATGGGGGCAACGATTACCTCTGGGACTGAAGATGAGGAGAGAATTGTGTTCAGCTGCTGGTCCTGAGCCTACAGTTTCATGTCACTGTCTAGCACATTGGCTAGACGACCCTCCTCACTGTGAGGGCAGACAGTAAGGAGTAGGCAAGCTCGGGATGGAGCCTTTGGCCCATGAGTGGAGTTCCTGAGGCAGGTGGTGCTAATTGGCCATCCCTCCCAGCAGCAAGCTAGGATTTCCTTACCCCTTTCCAAAGGGGCCATCTTCTCCTGTCTGTGTTTATGCCGTTCCATCTCCACGCAGATTCCATGGATGTGTGCCAGACTGTAGTATGAGAAAATGAAAATGAGTCAATCTAAAAATTGTATTTGTGGTGCCTCGTGACATTTGATGCCTGTATGACTGGGTAATGTTCAGATCTGTGTAAACATTTGTTGCTCCCAAGAGTTACCATTTCTTTATGGTGAAGTCATTATCTACATTTGCCCACCAGAATGCCTTTGTCCTCTCTCCTTGTTACAGTAGCCCCGTTCTTCCTCCCCTTAGCCTTCGATAATCACTGTTCTCGTCTCAAGTTCCATGAGACCCACTTTTTTGAGAGAGGTCATGTGGTACTTATCTTTTTGTGTGCGGTTTATTGCCACCTAGAATGACCTCTGCTTCCATCTACCTCATTGCAAATGAAAGTATTTTATCCCTTTTATGTCTGCATAGCATCCCATAGTGTGTAGGTGCCACATCTTTACCATTCATCAGTTGGCACTGAGGTAGTTTCCATTTCTTGGCTATTAGGATTAGTACTGCAGTAGTGAACTTGGGAGCACAGATGCCTCCTTATCATTGACTCATTTCCTTGCACATATACCCAGTATTGGAATACTGGGTGTATTTTTAACTTTTTGAGAAACCTCCATACTGTTTTCCATAATGACTGAACTAATGTACACTCCCACCAACAGTGCACGCTCCCTTTTCTCTCTGTCTTGTCTTTTTGATAATAGCTATTTTGGCAGAGTGAGTGCATTTCCCTGATGCTGATGATGCCGAGCACTTTTTCACATACCCGCTGCCCATTGCATGTTTTCTTTTGAGAAGTGAATTTCTTTTTCCCTTATATATTCTGGATGTTAACAATCTGTCTTGTCTTTTTGATAATAGCTATTTTGGCAGAGTGAGTGCATTTCCCTGATGCTGATGATGCCGAGCACTTTTTCACATACCCGCTGCCCATTGCATGTTTTCTTTTGAGAAGTGAATTTCTTTTTCCCTTATATATTCTGGATGTTAACAACTTGTCAAATGTACTTTACCTAGTCATTATAGTCCAGTAAGGTGATAGTCACTGAGTAGTACTATATTTTAAAGCATCTTCTCATCTTCTGGTAGATTGTTGTTATTAACAGACCTCTAAAATTAGCAGGGTGTGTATTAATTATCCTTGTTTTGCAGATATAAAAATTGAACCTCAGAGTTTTAGCTCCAGTTGCTCTGCCTGGTGGGCACCACGTGTGGGGTCAGGTGATCTTTGACTTTTGTTCTGAAGCTCTTTCCTTCCCTTGCATTTCCTGCTAATTATAGGAGCTGCTTTGCACAGTCTCATTGTCTAAGTCATGGCTGGTCTTATTAGAAGTTAGTTGAGTGCTCTTGTTGAAGTATTGGTTTGTGTCTGTTGTCCTGGGATTATTACTACCGGTGGCCCCGTAAGCCTCAGCAGTGTCATGGCTCTAGACATGCCAGGAAGGATCCTAAGGTTGGACTTCAGCAGTGCTTCTGATCAGCCTGCCAGGCCTCGCCTTTCATCTGGGGACAGACGGGCTGCAGTACTCTCACGGGACTTTGGGTGTGAAACTGCTGGCTTATAAGTTAACTTGTGTATTCCTGTACACGTTCGTTTTCTCCATGATAGCTGACAACTGATTACTTCCTATGAACAGCAGGTATTTAAAAAGAACTTTTACGCATTTGTGTTTGCCTGCCCTGGAGACTGAGATGGGCTTTTGTAAAAAGTGATGCCACACCTGAACAAATTTCACATTTTGTGTCTGTGTATGTTACTTAAAGAGACTGACCTAAGTTTACTAAGTGCCTCTGTGCCCACCCCGTGCCAGGTGCTTTCCTTATATAAAATCTGTTTTGCTTCTCTCAAAGAAATGAGCCAACAAAGCTCGGGATGGTGTGTGGGGGGTTGACCTTCATTGGGAGCCCAGGATTTTACTGTAAAGTCTGTCTGATTTCCCAAAACTAGAACATTCCACCCTGTAAATCTCACTTTTGAAGTATTACTTTGTGTTTATAGAGTTGATATGTTTTATGCTCATTTTTCTAACTAAAAGGATGAAAATTTTCTTATTAGTAGCAATCCACATAATAAATACAGCAAAATAAACCCATATTTATGTGATTGTATGTTACATGAAGGTATGCAGAAAATATGGGACCTGCTGGAGGCCACATGTGTGGCGAGCTGTCCTGTAAAGCAGCTTTCACTGTGTGTGCTCTACAGCCTGAGTCCGTGCCAGGAAGGCTTGTCATAGGACCCGTGCAGGCTGCGAAGGCCCCTGCTTGTAGCTTCTGATAGTGGCCTTCTAATTTGATGTCACATCATTGAGACCTGGAGATGTGCAGGAAAGCTTTTTATGCTGTGGATGGGAAAATAAACAGTGCACACCAAAGCAAAATTTGGGGGTTGGTATTGAGTTGCCAAGTTGAAATTTTGTCAGTTAAGTACATTAAAGTTATGCTTTAACTGTAAAAAATTAGAAGGTCCATAATCTTAAAACAAAGCATCATTTTCTATAATGATAACATGTTGTTTCACGAAAAGCCATACTATATTTTCTTTATTTCCCTTCTGCAAAGTTCATGCTTTTTGTACTAATAAATAATAGTTCCCTGATGTTATTAAAATGTATATTGTGGGTGGTTGAAACTGCTGGAAGACCATTGACAGAACCAGAATCTAAATCACACTGACTCTAACTGAACCTTATTTAAAAGCGTGTGCTCTTGCACTTCTGATGAGTTAATGGTTAATGAGCGTGTGCTTTAATTAGATGTTATCCTTTCCTTGCAGAGCTTTTGTGCTGCCTTGCACCAAGAACTCAAAGAATACTACCGATTGCTCTCTGTTTTACATTCCCAGGTAAATGTTTTGTTTCAACGTCTTCATGATTTGAAGAGTTAGCTAATTGATATTACATAGAATATTTTAAGTTGCTTTATACAGTGTTTCTGAAAGATAGCAATCACCTTCATAATGTCCGAATAGCTACAGTGTTTCATTGTGTCCTAGAACCAGTTAATTGCTCCTTCTTGGGGTTTTGTCTACCACTTAAAGACTACTTGGAGCTTCAAAATACTGTTGTTTTCTCAAAGGGGACATTTGACTTCCTTGTTATGAGAGTAATCACTTTCTGATATTTACTGTATGGATTAAGAAATGATATGATGAATGGTACTTAAACTTTCTGTATTGTTTTACAGCTACAACTTGAGGATGATCAAGGTGTGAATTTGGGACTCGAGAGTAGCCTCACACTGCGGCGTCTTCTGGTTTGGACGTATGACCCCAAAATAAGACTGAAAACCCTTGCGGCACTGGTGGATCATTGCCAAGGTCCCTTTGCATCTCTCTTATGTTGTCTCTAGAGGTGTTTGAGTGCAAAGTTCATTGGTGTAGTGCAGGTCTTCCGGTTCTGCTTCAGTATGCTGCTCTTTTGTTCTTAATAGCTAAAGTATGTCCCTTGGATGCCTGTTAATTGACATGAACTTACCAGAGAAGTAACCCTTTGCCAGGGTGGTCTAGCGTTTATCCTGCGGCAGCTCAGGTGTTGCTGAGACGAATGTGGAAAGAGCACTGTTGTTCAGAGGCACCTCTTTCTGGTCTTGCCTCGCAGCCTTCCTGGCATCTCTGCTTTTAGTTCTTCTGAGGGGAGGGTCTGTCCATTCTTGCCATCTGTTTGTTAGAAGATCCCATGTTTTGTCTGTCAGGCCTTTCCTGGGCTCTAGCGTCTCCTGACTGCCTTCTGAATATTTTTCTCAGTTTGCCAGTTACCTTGGCCAGGGACCTTGCCCTCTTTTTTCTCATTTGTAGTAGGGGATTCTGGTAGTCATTACCTCTTAGGATTATTAGGACCACATGGGATTTGCCTGCCCCATAGACAGAGCTCCACACTTGCTGCCATCCTCACAGGTGATTCTCAGGGCCTTTATTTGAGCATGTTTGAGTCCTCCTTCACTGTCATGCCATCCTTGCCCTGCCTCCGTCACCTCCTCATGCTTCTTTCAAAAAAGAAGTGGAACACAATGGCTTAACCCCTGCGTTTCTCCTCTTTTCTCTTCCCTCAGTTCCTTCATCACTTCCATAGCCAGCCAGGGACATCCTGTTGTCCTGTTTGGTCTTTGTGGTGGGTGCCGTTGTAAGAACTGCTCCCAGCCGCCCAGGTTTTTGCTCACTGCCCCCTCAGCGCCCACTACAGCTCCAAGTTCCTGGCATAGCACTTTCGGCTCCTCCTGGGCTTGGGTTTCTGGAACTCTCCTGCTGCCTACACAGAGCGGCATCTCAGGCTGCTGCACTGCTGGTTAAGGGCCATGAAGTCAGTGAGTTGAGACAAACACAGTATACCCAGGCAGTGTCAGTATTTGAATGCATACGGTGTGCTTATCGAATCGTGCATCTTCCTGGGTCTCACTCAAAAAGGCATGAGGTCATGTGAGATCTCGATTGTGCAGCCAGTCACTTTTTTGCTACTTTTGCAACTGAAAGCCTTCTTACCAGTCTTGACTCACTCCGATTCAAATTTGTGGAAAGCTGCAAATAGCACCTTGATGCCTGGCCTTGCTGCTGCTGCTTCGAAGTCCAGAAATGTAACTGAAGAGAGACAGGCCTTTTTAAATTAGGTTACTTGGCCATCACTGCTTGGAGTTCAGTGATGAGTTCGTGCCATGAAGGTTAATTTGGGTGTTTTCATGTATTTTCTCTCAACCCCTCAGGAAGGAAAGGAGGTGAGCTGGCCTCAGCTGTCCATGCCTATACCAAGACGGGAGACCCGTACATGCGGTCCCTGGTGCAGCACATTCTGAGCTTGGTGTCTCATCCTGTCCTGAGCTTCCTCTACCGCTGGATCTACGATGGGGAGCTGGAGGATACGTACCATGAAGTAGGTGCCGAGGCTGAAGTGAGGAGCCATGGGTACTCCATTATTCCCGTCGCTGTCCTCTCTGGACAGGGAGTGTCCATTCTTCATTTGAATGCCATGCCACTGCACAGTCCTTGCAGGCCAGTACCCCTCTGGTCATCAGAGCTGTATTTGGTTAGTGTGAAATTACCCTCCTATTTTGAGTAGTGAGAAACTCAGCATGGTCAGGCCACTTGTCAAGGTTCACTGGCCAGTTGATGTCAGAGCCAGGACTGGGCCCCATGAGACCGAGGGTGCAGCTTCCTGTGTTCATTGCTTTACGTGGTAGCTGTGAACTCATTTCAGTCAACTGTGGTGTGGGCAGTTGTTTATATTTACATTTTGAAATGTAGGCTGTTCTGCAGTGTGACAAGTACTCTTTAACACAATAAAGACCGTATGGCTTTTCGAGGGAAGAAGGGTGAGGGGCATCACGTTCAAAAATGTTGTCAGTAACATTAAAATGCAGAGTGATAGGAAGTAATAGAAGCGCTACCACCAGTTAGCACATGCTGAGTGTTAAGAAAGACACAAATACTTTATAAATGTGGCATTCCCCTTGAAAGAAACCTGCCTTGGAAGTTGGTGCAGAAGGACTGCAGTTTGTGCTTTGGGAAGTAGGTGGGGTGGGCACACTGGCACAGCAGCCCGTGAAGAAGTAAGCTGGGGGAGGCAGTTGAGGGCTATGTGCAAGGTTTATGGATTTCCCTGTCCTTGAGCTCAGAGCTTGTGTTTAACTTCCCTTTTATTTATTATATTTTTCAGCTTTTTCTTACTGCAGAAATTGCATGTAAGCAAACATGACCTTAGGTTTTGCCCAAATCTTTTGCTAATTTATCAGTTGTGCTATTATAAATTTTTGTTTCTAAAACCAAACAAAGCAGAACTGACTGTAGATGGTACTGCTTTTGTGTGCTTTTGATTGGGGAGCAGAGAGAGAGCTGGGCAAAACCTAGACATTTATTTTCCTCTAGCTTTTCCTTTCCAATTTTTGTTTTTTTAAATTTCTGGTGGTACTGGCATTTAAACTCAAGGCCATGCATTCCACCACTTGAATTACCTCTCCAGCCCTTTTGCTTTTAGTGGTTTTCAGGTAGGGTTTCATGTTTGCCCGGGGTCAACCTCCAACCACAATCCTCCTGTGTATGTTTCCTGTGTAGCTGGACCACAGGTGCGCTATCATACCTAACTTATTGGTTGAGACGGGGTCTTGTAAACTTTTTTGCCTGTATAGGCCTCAAACTATGATCCTCCCAATCTCTGCCTCCTGAGTATCTGGTATTACGGCAACAGCCACCGTGCCTGGCTGTCATATTTCTTATTTTTGTTTTATTTTTCATTGATACTTAAAAAATAAAAATTCTGCATAATTACTAGGGTGACCATATAATGTTCAACGCATGTATATATTGTGTAATGTTTAAATTAGACATGTTAGCCTCTCAAACATTTATCATTCTTTGTGGTGGAACCTTTCAGAAGCCTTTATTCTACCCTTTTAAATCGTTCTGTACATTTTTAAATGTTGACTCATGGCAGCGAGATTCGTACACTTTAAACTTGGGGTGTTTTTCTGAAGAGCCTCCAGTTGCTTGAAATAGGCATCAGGCAACATTCCAGCTTTATTTCTAAAAAGTAAATAAATCAGTCAATCACTGGGTGCCCATGTCTATTAAGTGCAGTATTAGAATGAGTAGCTCTTTTTATCACTCAGCGGACTTCCTGAGTTCTTGCCTCATTGGTAAAGATTGATTTTAAGCATTTTTCTTTTTATTTAATTATAGACTTCTAGAAAAGTTGGAAGCACTCTACAAACAACACAAACCCCTTCCTCTGGGTCTGTGTGATGCTAACTCCTTTCTGCTCTACATGCACACCCTGCATTCTAAAGATTCTGCAGTTACTGAAGTTTACGCATAGTATCCCAGTGCATGGGCTTGGGTGAGCCAAGGCTCCTAACCATTTTGTCTGCCATTCCTTTGCTGAAGTCACCTTTGCACCCTCATGATCCTGTTTGTCTTTCTGGTTTGCTTGTGGAATTTCCCAAAAATGCTGGGACTAATTGAGTGACTTGAGTCTTTTTTGAGGAGAAGTGTGCTGTGCTCTTTGCTGTGGGACTGGCACGCTCAGCACTGCAGTGCCATGGACTGCATCGCTTACTGGTCACCACTGCCTGCAATCTTGCTGTGCGTTCATCCGTGCTGAAGTCAGGTAGTTTGGGCTATGCCTCCCTCAGCCTTTCCTTCAATCTTCCAGATGTGCATAATGGCTGCACCTGTCCCAGGGGATTCTTTGTGGAGATGCAGCTTGAGTCAGACAGGTAGCAAGTGTGCAGTGTGTCATCCTCAACCTAAGAAGAATATTGGACGGCATTTGAGTGTCTTCTGTGCTCAAGGCTTCTGTGGCCTTTCCCTCGTCTGTCTGCAGATCTCTGATGTCCCGTAACTTCTGATGAACCCTTTATTGGCAAACTTTCACATAAACCTTTAAGCTTTATTGTAAATTACATATTTACAATATGTAAATATGTAAATTTACGTATATGGCAGTTTAGAGGATTACATTGTGTTTGCTCATCATGTAATTCAGATTGGAGAATTTTGTGTCTTAAGTTCCTGTGTAGGTTAATTTTTCCTCACTCTGGCTAATGTGAGTTAAAACTTGTAAAATTGTCACTACAAGTTTTGACTCTACATGGACTGTATAATTATTCATTTCCCAATAGTTTATGGAATATCTGCTTAAGGAAATGCTGCTTTCTGTAACCAAAAGAAAGTGTAAGATATCTATGAAGAGAAGTTGGAAAAAGGAACCACATACAAACTGTGGAGCTGCAGAGTGTCGTAACTACTATGAGAAGAAAGACCTCGGGCTCCCCAGCAGGTTTGAGCAGGAAGAAGAGAACAGTGGCTTGAGGGAGGTCAAGTGTAGTCATCCGGTTTGAGAAACCAGAAGAATGGGAAGGAAGGAAAGCGAACAGTGCTTCAGAGGAACATGGCACACAGGATAGTGGGTGGAGTCATTGATTAGTGATTCTTGGTTAATGAAAGACGTTAATTAAACATTGAAAAAGTTCAGCAAACTCAGATCCACAAGAAGACATGCTATAATCAAGGTTTGGAGAGCCAAAGACAGAATTTCTTCAGGGCACCAAGTGAGGCAAACTCACCTTGCAGAGGCCACAATAAGACCAACAGCTGACTTCTCATAAGAAACCACGAAGTTCAGAAGGTGGAAGGTTGATGCATTCAAACGCTGAAAGAAAAACTCATTCCAAAATGCTCCTTCACAAATGGGGAAAGAAGAAAGTCACAATAAATAGAACCGGAGTGAGTTCCTAGAAATGCATGAATTGCCCAAGATGACTTCTTATTTCATAAGAAGTAGAAAATCCACACAGACCTGCAACAAATAGAGATTCGATCAGTGATTGAGAAACCTCAACAAAAGAAAGCCCATGACCAGGTGGTGTCCTGATGAATTCTGAGCACATATTTAAAGAATTAACAACAAAACTCTTCAAAAAACAGGATAGGAAGAACACTTCTGAAGTCATTTTATGAGGCCAACATAAAGAACAAAAGCTATACGTGCAAATCTCTTATGAGTAAAGATGCCAAAGTCCTCAATAAAACTCTAGAAAATGGAGTTCAGCATATTGAAAGACTTGTACGTCACAGCCTCTTGGATTTTTCCCAGAGTGCAGGGTCATCGTTGCAATCAGAGTCAGTCGATGTTTCACATCACTTTGACAATGAGGGAAAACACACAGTCTGCTCAGTTGCTGCTAGAAAAGGATTTGACAAAATTCAACACCTTTTGCGTTAAAAATACTCCAGCCCACTAGAGAGGAACCTGACTAATGAAAGACTTCTCTGCCGCACTAACAGCCCATGCCTGTGGGTAGGAAAGGCCGCCTGCTTTCTCCTTGAATCAGGAGCAGGACGCGTGTGCCCTGTCACCTGATCAGCGTTGGGCTGCAGGTTCTGGCCAGGACATCTAGGCAAGGCAGGAGAGATGGAAGAGACACCCAGCTGGATGGGAAAGGAAGAAGTAAACTCACCCCTGTTCCCGAGGACAAGACCTTACGTACAGAAAACTCTGGAGTGGGCACATGTACACTGCGTAGGTATAGATGTCTAATTAGAAGACTCAAAGGTTATAAGAATAAGAATCAGTAACAAAGATCAGTTTTGTTTCTATACACTTGGCAGTGATCAAGTATGAAATTAGGGAAATAGTTCCACTCATTGTAGCATCAAAACAAGCACAAAATACTTAGAGGTAAACTTGACCAGGGACTTGCAAGCCTTGTGCCCTCTGAAATGCTGTGATCGGTAAGTTTGCCTGGTCTGCAACCTTTGTTAAACAGAACATGACCAGCTCAACTCCCACTGTGTGCAGGTACCATGGTGTTTTCTCTAGTTGTGTCCTGGGCAGGATTCCCATGGCAGCGGTGGCAGGATGGGGTTCTCTGTAGTCTGTTGATGGATGGAATTCCTAGGAACTCAGTTGCTTGCTGAGAAAATTACCCTCCTCCTTTCTCTTTTTAGTAGGGAGGCCTTGGCACTTGTCCAGCAGCTAATGAGAAATCGTGACACAATTATATTTTATTTTTTTTCTCAATTCTTTCTGTGTTTGACATAATGGTGAAAATTAAAGGACCTTGAGTGGAAATGCATCAATAAAATAAAGGCTACCGTACTTACATTCTGACCTTGGTTCTTCCTCTACTGCCATCTATTTCTCACAGAATTAATTATATTCTAAAGGTACCTGGGCTCTTTGTGCTCGCTATTCGATGTTGCCAAGTAGTGTGATTGCATGCTCCTTTGCCCCTGGAGGAAGCAATGTGTCCATAACTTCTAAAGATGGGCTGAATTGTCTGAGGTTTTTATGGTTTAAATTAAATTTTCTTATTGTTCATTCTGACACAAATCAGCTACACTCCAAGTATCAGGACAAATTGGCATGTTGTCTATAAAAAGTAGCTCTTCTGTTTAAGTGAATAACAGAGAAATACAATTTATATGCAATTAATCTAATCTGTTGAATGGCAAGCTACAGAGCAATCATAACACAGTGATTGGGTAACTGTGGAGGTTATTCATGGTAGGTTTATAGTGTTTTTGAAAATTTCTACCAGGCATAATTTCAGTATATGTTAAAGTGATGATAACCTCATTAGAGTAGAGCTGTTTATCTCTCAAAGCTGTCATTAGTACGAACTTAAAATTAGAAAGGTAGTACAAGCCAAGACAGCCTAAAGCGGATCAATGACTGCTTCAGTCATTTAAATTGATGCAAAGATAAGACGTTTTGATGGGAAATAATTGAGTCATTTCCTTCTGTGGTCATAAAAGTGTTGGCATTTATTCATAGACTTACTTATAGTGGTGATTGGTTGTGCAAAGTTGATATTCTCCGATATAAGACCCTGACATCGTTAGAAGTTTATTCCTTCAAATGCTTATCCTTGCTAGTAAATTTCTGAAAAAGAAATAAGACTTTAAGTTAATTACATAGAGAAAATGATGTTATTCAAAAAATACTTGGTTGCTTGTTCAGTACTTGGCTGAAATTACTTAGTTAAACAGTATTTTTCTGACTTAAAAATATTTGTGCAATTGAAAACATTTTTGGTTATGTAACTACCTGTAAAGGAGAATATTGCAAATTCTTCAGTCATCTTGCCATGAGCAGACAGGACTTACTCGTAAGCCATTTTCACTGTGTATTTGTGTGTGTCACATTACCTGTAGTATTTTCTAATCTGTCATTTTTTCATGGACATAAATCACGAGTATTGTTTCAGGAGGTTTTTCAAATGGTCTCTGGAACTCTCAACTAGTATTTGTTTCACATTAGTGCGTACTTGTGAACGTCCACAGTTTTTCCTGGGCAGATCTGCTCTTCTCTGATTCTTGGGGGGTCTGTGGTAGTTAGCAGTAACCTTTATTTTTAATGACCACCTGATGAAACTTTAATTCACTTGTTTTTAGCCATTTAGTAGCATATTGGAAGTGTAATACATCTTGATCAAGAATATTTTATGGATAATATATTCAGTTTATTCTATATTTAGAAATGAAGCTGACCTACAATGTTTTCGTATTTTCTTATCAGTTATGCTAGCATTATGCTTATTTTATAAAATAAGCGAGCATTCTGTGCATTTTCCATGGTCTCAAATACTTTGAACATACAAAAGAATGATGTCTTTTTTTAAACATAAGGCCCTCAACCTTAGTGACAGCATTTTGCACTTACAGTCTCTTCTAAAGATAATATACTTCTGGGTTTCTTCTCTCTTCCTGGGTTAGTTTTGGTCATTTATATTTTTCTGGGAAATCCATAATTTCATGTTGCTCTGTAATTGCTAAAAATACTTTAAAAATCCTTAAATTCCTTTTGTGTCTGTGGACATGGCTTCTAGTCACAGCTGTATGTCATTCCCCTGTTGATGGTCTGAGATTATGGAGGCACTAGTGGCCTGAATGATTTGGATGGATTTTGTAGTCTGACAGAATTCAGCTCCACATATGGCCCAGCCAGTGCTGAGTGTCAGTCCCTGCAGCTCCTAACTAAAGTGTTGTGAGTGCTGAGGTTGAGGTTTTACCACCAGTTCTCCCTCTGAGGATGTGAGAGGCCCGGTGGAGAATTGACCAGTGCTGGGTCTTGGGAGGCATGGACACACGCTGGAGCACCTTCTTTCCCAGGAAGCCAGGGAGGGTCCTGGGGTCCATGCATGGTAAGGACTGGGAGCAGCTCGGAGAGGCTCCATGTTCCCAGAAGGGAAGGATGGCATTCCCTGAGATAGTAACTGTGATGGGCTGAAACACCAGGCGCACGTAATTCCATGGTTGTAATGGTACTAAGACAAAACAGAGTGAGTGGTCACCATTGGAGGAGTGCAAGTAAAGGGACTGCGGCCATCCTGGCTGTCCCTTCTCATTCACCTGTGGATGTAATTAATGGTGATGATGGCTCCTTAACCCAGAAGACAGAATGATGTCTGTCTTCAGCAAGGAGAGAAGTGCCACACAGTGGAGGAATGGGTGCCCTTGAACATAATGCCTGTCAGGGCAAGTTCCAGAGGGACTAAAGAGGAAAACCATACAAATAAATACAAGCAATGTGACAGAAACATGAGAGAACATTTGGAGAACATTTTATAACCTGGGATGGGAAGATCATAGGGAGACAGATGTTCATTTAACAGAAAAGAGCGCAAACAAAGGCAGGGGGAATACTGTTAACGTAGGCAAGTGATTAGTCTAGGAGCATTAAATCTGTAGCATGTATGACTCACTAATGTACAGAGAGTCTATATATTAGGCTGGGGTGTGGCTCAAGTGGTAGAGTGCCTGCCTGGCAAGCACAAGGTCCTGAGTTCAAACCCTAGACCATCAAAAAACAAATCTTTATATTGATGAGAAAAAGACAAAATCAGCAGAAAGATGGGTAAAGGACAGAAAAAGACAGTTCACAGGAGGGGAAAAAAAAGCAAGATGAATTATTATTCATCATTCATCATTATAACATCATTGTTATTTGCTCAGCTTCAGTTGTAGTCAGTGAAATAGCTGTCCAAGATGACTAATTCTCTGCACTGATTGGCGGAACCTGAGAGAAACAGGGTGGTGCTGACAGGGTATATGCCTTGGCCATTGGGACGTGCATTCTGCCGTGCATTCTGGCACGGTCTATTCAGCATGCCTCCACTCAGCAGTTGTGCTTTTGGAAGACACGGGCACTGGGCCTATCACTGAGGATGAAAACGGCCTTGTACATACTGTAAATAATGTGGAAAGCATACAGTTGAATTTTCTTTGTATTGCTGGGCGTCCTTTCTGGGCTATAGGTGGATTGGGGTATGGGAGGGAGAAAGTGAGCTGTGGCTTGGGTGAGAGAGAAGGTTCTTGATCACAGGTGGTGCCCAGGGAAAGCCACAAAGAGAAGGGCACTTCTTACAGTGCCACTTCTGTGTGAATGGTCCTGTGTGCTTTAGGATCTGCCTGTAGGTGGCAATCTCACCTTGCGCTCTTTTGTGAGCAGTGCACCAGCATAGGCACCTCCTTCCAGACTGGAGCTCTGTGAGATAGAGGTAAGTCAAGGACACTGATGGGCACAACAGCACAAACTGAGTACTGAGAAACTCAGCACAGATCTGTGTTGTTGCCAGGGTAGAAGAGGGTCCATGGAGATACAGAAGCCCCTGAACTTGGATCCGGGTACTGAGGCCTAACTGATACTCACATTACTCATGCTGAGGATCCCAAGTGTTCAGGAAAAATGTAACTTGTTGGTATTACAGCTTGGTTTTAAAAGTCTGGGAGACATATAATGTAGATTTCTGTCCACAGTGCTTTATAAAACAAATTTATTGATAAATGGTATGACTCCCTGTATCTGGGGAATTGAGTAACTTTCTAGAATAACTTATTCTTTGTTGCTGTTTGCTAATGTTTTGCATAAATAACATTTTTAATGCTCAATGTACTTTTGCTTTCAGTTTTTTGTAGCATCAGACCCAACGGTTAAAACAGATCGACTATGGCATGACAAGTATTCTTTGAGGAAATCAATGATTCCTTCATTTATTACCATGGATCAGTCTAGGAAGGTAGGGCTAAAGGTTTTGTGATCTTGATTTTTTTATTGCTGTATGTATTTAGATTTTATGATAAAATGAATTTTCAGTTATATAAATTTTGTTGCATTTTAAGATTGTTAAATTCCTGAGGTAAAGTATATGCTAATTGAATATCAGCTTAGTAATATGCTTGTTAATGTATCTTTTGAACTGCTGGAACTCACTTGATGCTAGACCCAGTGCTCTTTATTTTAATCAGTGACCAATTTGTAATGTATGAATAGTTGTAGTACTTGGTGACCATTACTTGTTGGAGGAGTGGATGGAGGGAATAAAGGAAGGTGAGTATGGTCTATGTGCTTTATATTCAAAACAAGTACCCAGTAAGAGAGATGAGGAGTGAGATGGGGGAAGGGTGAACCTAACCAAATGTACAATGTAAGCATATTCAGAAATGTCACAATGAATCCCTCTGCATAGCTAATGTATGCTAATAAAAATACCTTGAGAAAAAATTTTACATTAAAGGTAACCATAGGATATTTTTCTTTTTAGGTTCTTTTGATAGGAAAATCAATAAATTTCTTGCATCAAGTTTGCCATGATCAGACACCCACTACAAAGATGATAGCTGTGACCAAGTCTGCAGAGTCACCTCGGGATGGTATGATGCTGTTGCTGATGGGCTGATGGTGGTGGTGACAGTGGCAATGTGACCTGGTGGTGATTATGATCATGGTGATGATGTGATGGTGGTAGTGATGGTGATTATGGTGATGATGGTGGAGATGATGGGGATGAGGATGATAGAGATGAGGATGGTGGAGATGATAGAGATGAGGATGGTGATAGGGATGATGGTGATGATGAGGGAGGTGATGGAGAGGAAGGGGATGATGAAGATTATGGAGATGATGGGGATGATGATGGAGATGATGGGGATGGGATGAGGATGATGGTGGTGATGAGGACAATGGTGGTCATGTAAAGGTGATGGTGACGTCAAGGTGATAAGGGTGATGTGTTACTTGGCATTTTTTGTTCCATATCATTTGCAGATTGTCTGAATTACTCAGACATCTAATACGTAGCACATCATATGTACGCATATTTATGTGTATATGTATTTTTATACTTCTCTGTTAGCGTTTAATTCCCCCTTTATACAGAGGTACCTGGGAGCAGGCGTTGCAATACACACAGCTATTTCATCCTGCTTAGTAATTTTTATTACTTTTCCTCCAGTGGTAAAGTGACAGTGTGCCAAAATAAGAAAACAGAGGAGAGTGGTTCTAATGGTAGGCACATCTTGGGACTCAGAGACTGTTTTAGAAATCAGACTTAGAAATATTCTGAGTGCTGTGTAATCTTCTGCCTGCATTAAGAGTGCTGCGGTGTTCCCTCATTCAGGCACATTTGCCACCTCTCTCCTCCTCCTCTACTTGCTGTCTGCCCCAGCCCTGGCAATTTCATGTGTGCTTAACTGATTTTTATAGCTTTCCAGTCCTGGCTTATTTTCTACTTATATTGTCATCTTCATTCAAAAACTTTACTTTGCATATGACACTACAGTAGAAATGGTATTCAGAAATCCAGCTAAGGGTTGCATCCAAACGTAGAGACTTGGTACCTGAGGGCAAGGCTGGATGCTGTGGCAAGAGCTCCCAGGGTCAGGGCAGATGGCCCTTGCAGTCCTGGAGAGCTACAGTCTCTCTTGCTCACGTGTGTTTGTATCAGTTTTCTGTGTCCCCCAGGTTAGCATAGATATGTGATGCCCACGCACGTTTGGGGAAGGGGTTGACGTACATTTAAGAGGTAGGAGAAGGAAGAGCTGGGAGAGTACTGTGTTGTTGGAGTTTTGACCTTTCTGTAGTGCTTAAGGGGACAGTTGAAGAGAGGTATGGGTAGTGCTTATGAATCACCAGAGGCCTGGGGTTTAGACTGCTGCCACCACTGAATTGTTACTGCTTCTACTCTTGTTTTAATTAATTATTTTTTGGTGGGACTGAGTTTGAGCTCGGGGCTTTGCATTTACAAAGCAGGTGCTCTATTGCTTGAGCCATACCTTAGTTCTGCTTCTGCTCTTAATGCTGCTGTTATTCCTCTGCTGTTGCTATTATTCCACTGCTGCTACTTCTCAGTGGCCTTTGTGCTGCCAGGGTCTAGAAAACAAGGCTCTGCCGCTCCGTTTATAGTATGGAGGGAAGACAGGTACAGATCCCAACAGACTACTGAAGGATCCAAAACACTGGAAATACCAAGTTCATATTTACCTGTGAAAAATTTGACAAGTTAGAAGTGCAAACAAAGACTATACAGAGGGAAATTTGAAAAGTTGGAGCACAAGGCTTGCCTGAACTTTGGGGAACAAAGAAGGTGCTGAAGCTCTAGACCTCATGACTTCTAGTAGGCTGCTCAGGGCTAATATTAGTTAACATTTAAATATCATTCATCAGAATGAAAGATTTTATTAACTTAAAGAAGGGTATCAGAAAAATGTTCCAGGGGAAAATATTTACAATTTTCAAACTACATAGATAACAGAAATATGCCCCGCTGCCCTAAAGCAGGACCTCAGTGAGCTTGTGGAGTGGGTCTGATGCTTATGCATCACAGACCTCGCTTTGCTGCAGGTGACCATGTGCTCTTCATAGGGCTCTTGTATCTGCCCCATTGTGCATCTGGAATGACACTGGGACACCCAGTGCCATTCTGAAGGACAAGTAGCATCTGGGGCTTTCTGAGATTTTCGTGTTGGTTGTCTCAGGTAGTGGGGAGTCTTGAACTTGGGATCAGAGGCGTTGCCTCTCTTATGCCTGCTTAATTTTGAACAATCTTAGATTGGTCGTTCCTTGACTTAGGGATTATTTTGTGGGTCAGCCGTTCTTTTAGTTTTTAGGTGAAATCAACGTGGGACTGGGTATTTGGCCTCAATGGCAGAGTGCCTATCTAGCAAGTGTGAGGCCCTGAGTTTGAACCCCAGTATCAAGAAAAAGAAAAAATCAATTGTTTATAAATGGATTTGAGCTACACGGATGTAAATTAGCACCATAAAGAGCTGTTATGTCTGTAGTGTGCACATTATGTTTCCTTCATTGTAAAGCTAGAAGAAGTGTGGAGACACTTTTCTTATGTTACTGCTTAGAGTTAGGCTTCTGAGTTGGTGACAGTCTGGTTCTGTCTCCTGGAAGATCTGCAGCGATGTCACCCTGTGATGCTGTGTAATGACCGTGTAACGGCACTGTTCTCTCTTGCACAGAGCTCACACATGTCGTTTTGGTCTCAGGACTAATTTACAAAATGTCCTGCAAGGTGTGTGCTGCTTGGTTCTGTGTCCTACGACCACAGTTCTCTCGTGAGACGTGGTGGTAGTTGCAGTGAGCACAGTGGTACTTGAACTTGAACAGTACTGTTGGTGGCCAGTTCCTTCTGGATGTTTGGCTGGGCATGGTGCTTTCAGTTCCTGCCCTCGCCACCTGCACCTGTGGTGCCAGTTAGGTCTGCCGCTGGTGCTGCTGGCTTGGCATTGACTTGTGTCCTTGTGTCTTTGTGTGCCTCTGCTGTTCCTTTGTTAAAACACACCGTCACTCATGTGCATGCTTCTCCCTTTTGTTCTTTACAGCTGCAGATTTATTCACGGATTTAGAAAACGCATTTCAAGGGAAAATTGATGCTGCTTATTTTGAGACCAGCAAATATCTCTTGGATGTTCTCAATAAGAAGTACAACTTGCTGGACCACATGCAGGCAATGAGGCGATACTTGCTTCTTGGGCAGGGAGATTTTATACGGCACTTAATGGATTTGCTAAAGTAAGAAAGTGAATCATTTTTATGTTTATAAATATGCAGTACTTCTAACACGATGAAGAGCTTGCTGTTTTTGTTTGAAAGAATAAATGGCATTAGAGGGAAATGAGTTCTTTGCAGAGGGTATTTTTAGAATAAACTCTGCATAGATGAAATTATAAACCCCTCACAGGTTGAAGCCCCTGCTCTGGTTGCCAGCAAGGCTGCAGATGTGTGCTGTGCTGTGGTCATGAGGGAGCCTGGTCCCATGAGTGCTTGTGACTGGGCAATGGCCCCTGAGTTCCAGGATCAGGTGCAGTCATCATTAACTTTGGCAGTTTAAATTGTTGAAGGGAAAGTGTTCTCCAGATGCCAGGCTGACCCGGGAGAGCACGGGGTGTGGGGCATGCAGGATGGAAGATGGAACAGGCAAATTAGCCTGTGCGGCAGAGTAAAGTAGAGGTCCAAGATGGATGACCTCATCAGGCTACCTCTTCTAGCCTTTCACTGCATTTGCCTTGTGCTGAATCATACTGACAGTGCCGATTTCTCCTCAAAGATGTGCTTCAAGCATGTGCTTTTAAAGGGAGCACCCTCAGTGTACCTCCCACTTGCTGCAGACCTATTTGAGGACAGTGATGTCATATGTCTTTTCACCTCATCTTTGCACAGACACCCCTGAGATGGGCAGTCAGCTTTTGGTCAGAGAAATGGGAGCTTCCTGTTTGGAAATGCAGCCATCAGTTGTCCTGCAGAAATGTGTGCTGGTGTGATGGGTAGTGACATCCACATGCCTGCATGTGTTGATTGCAGGGCGCACTTGCCTCTCGTTAGGTCTTTGGGAAATGTTGGTAATCTACACTGCTCTTAGGCCAGGCTTTGGTGTGCAAACCTCATGAACATGTGCATATCCATACGCTTTCAATTTAAGCTGAATCAAAATGAAGATTTGATCTGAGGCTTGCAGTTAATGCCATGGAGCTTTTGTTACTGCTTTGTATCTGTCCCATTTGTCTTTTCAGTTTTTATAATTTGAACTCTTCTTAAATTTATAAGCTTTTAAAAAAGCTCATTAGATATTCAAGTAACATTTTTCTGTAATTTTTCAAAACTTTGTTAAGACCAGAACTTGTGCGCCCAGCAACGACTTTGTACCAACATAACTTGACAGGAATTCTTGAAACTGCTGTCAGAGCCACCAATGCACAGTTTGACAGCCCTGAAACCCTGCGGAGGCTGGACGTGAGGCTGCTGGAGGTACGGTGTGAGACTGGGGCGTCCTCGCCGCTATTCCCTTGTTTAAGGGACAGTGAGTCTGCTCACTGCTGGAGGCTGGGCAGCCTGGGTGTCACCCTGCTCTGTACTTGTTGCTGGTGGCTGTAGGCGAGTCCCTCTCCTCCAAGTCATGCCATCTCACAAAGGGGGCATCTCATAGGACTTCTGGCTCAGGTTGGGTAAAATGCACAAGACACTTACTCCAGAGGGTGGGAGCATATCACAGATGCTGATAAAGCGTACCACATTTCATAGTAAGTTGGGTAGGATCTATCCACCAGGAAGTCACCTTTTGCAGTGTCAGTGTCACAGGACGTTTTTGGGCAGGGCTATGACCACGTGCACACACTTTCCAAGTAGTTGAACCCATCCGTTTTCTTAAAATGCAGACTTTTGGAGATTTGGAGCCTGCTGTGAGGCAGTGAGATCTTGTTTGCCCTGAGAAATGTATTTACAGTGTCTTCCTGACCGTGTGCTGAGGATGCAGAAGGTGACAAGGGGCACTTCCTTGCTCTTATGTAGCTAAGCACTTAAGCAGTTTTTAAAACATGGACCTTCTTCACTGCCTTTTCTCTGAGACCATGACAGGTTCTTTTTGTTTTCTTTTGGCATTAGGTCTCTCCAGGTGACACTGGGTGGGATGTCTTCAGCCTGGACTATCACGTGGATGGGCCGATTGCAACTGTAAGATCCTTGTGTGCATTCGTGAACGCTCACTGCTGTTTAGACTGCTCAACATTTGTTGTTTAGAACTGGCTTTCTTCTGTATGCACTTCTGACTAAGTGAACAAAACATCTAGGATATGTCCATTGAATAAGTTCTTAATCCAAGGTTGTGTGTATTTTCAATAATTGTTAATGATGCTGAAACGCTCTCTTATTTTAAGAATTCTTAAACATATCATTTGCTCTAGGCTTCAGCAAAGTACTTAATAAATGGATTACTTTGTTCCGTTATCTTAGACTGTAGCAACTAATTTAGGATAATTTGAAAGAAGCTATAAAGTGTATTTTAGGGGGATGGTATTTTTACTACTGGGATGAAATTTAATATTTTTCTATTCATTTAAACTGATGAGATAATAGCTGCACTATTGTTCATAGTGCTTTTACTAATGTAAAGAAAGGTACCATTTCTCCTAATAGTTACAAATCATAGTTACCAAGACTGTCCAGGGAGAGTAGTCTTCATGTGTCTGCAATTAAAATGCCTCTTTCTGGGGCTCATTTTCTCTTTATTCAGAGAATTTATTATTTATTGTCTTAAATAAATTCTCCTTGACCATTATATCTCATTAAACTTATTTCAGTCATTTTTATATCTCAAATACTGAGGAGAAAAATTTTATTTTAGTTATTGGGGAAATATTTTGTTAAGAAGTAACCTTGTTTGGCTCTAAGATTTCTTCTTTAGTGCTTCCTACAGACTGATGTCATGGCTTTTCCTCTCCTTGCACAGTGTAAATTACATCTGCTATAGGATGTTACCATTGAAGTCATGCTTACAAATTTGCTACCCACTGAATTGTCTTGTCTACTGTGGACTGATAGCTTTGGGAAAAAATTTTTTTTAACTAATAAATTATCATGCTTGACCTAATTCACCAGATCAAAGCTACTGTAGTGTAAATGCATAGCTGGTCTTATCTTTCATCTTTTGTCATATTGAAATTAGCTTTTTCTCCTTTATTTCCTAAGCAATATTAAATAGTTATAGTGCACAACAAATATGTGATATTTTAGCATGTTATTTAGAAACTTTCATATTATCTGCTTTATTTAGTTTGTGTACATTACACATTTTCATGCATAGAAAGAGGCTGGCAGTGTGGCTCTGTGGCAGAGCTTGCCTATATGAATGAGCAAGACTCTGGGCTCAGTCCCCAGCACCAAAAAGCCAATGTACCATAGTAAAGCGTAAGTGCCTCATGTAGGTGAAGTGAGTGTGATTTAATTATTTCACAGTACTGCACACTTCACTAAGAGTGTTGAGGTTGTGCGTTGTGTGCCAAATACACAAACCGTTGCTCATGCAATATCGTTAAAATCTTAGGTATGAAGTAAAGCAGTTTGTGTCATAGGTTTATTTGTAAAACCATATCTAGGACAGCTGTAGCTGTGGCACATAGTCTCAGGGAAGGCCAGCTCAGGGCATTGTTGGCTGCAGGCCCGGCTGCAGGTGGAGAAAGGAGAGGAAACAGTCCTGTGTCTGTTGGTTGGGCAGTTCAGCCTGGGGACAGAGTGTGAGGAGTATTCTCCTACATGTCTGTCATCTGCCACTCCAGTTCTGAGGTTAGCTTCTCTCGTCTTGTGTGTTTTTTTTTTTTTTGGCTAAATCACCATAACTGGATGATTGTAAGGACTTAAACAAACCCATGTTAGAAATTTAAATAATTTTTATCAGAGATTAAATTGCATGCAGTCATATACAAAAGTTACTGGAAAGATGAAAGGAGGCCTGTAATCTTAAAAAATATTTAGAGTCAAGGTTGGAAGGAAAATGGCTTTTCCTTCCTGTTAAACTTTTAAATTACCTGTTTCCTTTCTATTCTCACTAATTGAAGTTGTCACTTTTGTACAGAATTTAATTATAATGGGTACATATCTTGTAATAGTCATATAATTATGTCTTGTATAACAGCAATTTTAGCTTCTGTGATGAATTATCAATGAAAGTTTTGGATAGGTCTAATTTGAGAAATTGTGAAATTAAAATCTCAGGTTACTAAAAAAATTAGCCAAATATAGTTCATTAAACATTTAAAATATTTCTAATTCACCTTATTCTTAAGGAGTCCTAAACTTTCCGGTAAAATCGGTTATGTTATTTCACTCTGAATTCAGTGTCATGAGGTTGCCTGGCGTTGACTCCCCAGCTGGAGGTGGATGGTGTTCTGAGCCATGAGGTTGTGACGTGTGGCAGGACCTGATTCTGGGTGAGGGCTGCTGTTCTGTAGCAGGCAGGAAGAAGACCTGTTCATTTCTGCCACTGATATCTAGGGGTCAGTTTCAGATGAGGTGTCGGGAGCTTTGTCAGTGTTTCTGCAGTAGGAGGTGATCTGAGTATGGCTAGCAAAACTGTGGTGTGGTCGACATTTCCTCCCAAGTAAATGTATTAGAACATGTATGTCTTCCTCTTAGAGAGTTGATGTCCTAAAGAGCTGTGATTAGCTGAATTTTTAAATATCAGATAATCTTCAGTGTGATACAGGAACATGGTCCTTAAAGGGCCCCTGCCCTGTAACATGTCATTTGCATGGTGAAGAATCATTTGATTTATTCATACATTATCTAAACTGGTCACCCTTAATTTCTGTAATTTTAAGACTGTTAATAGTGTGGGCAGCACAGCAAATCTAATAATCTCCAAAGCACTCGAGTTTGATTTGGAGTACCTTTAAAGCAGTTTCTAATCACTCCTATTTAGATGTTTGATCACCCGTCATTTCAGAGCATATACCAGGTTCTGGTACAGAGTGGCATAGGAAGAGTGAATGGATGCTCACAGAATATATGAGATGAGAAAACAAGATACAGCAGTACAGAGCTGCATGCTGTCTTTGCAGGGATGGAGCAGTGCTGTTCCAAGTGTCTGAGGAAGGAGGAAGTGGTGGTTCTGGGAAGGAAGTGTGCCTGTGTCCTGGGGATGGGAGGGTTTAGGGAAGTGTTGGGTGCTCCCTTCACTGCAGAGCCTGGCCTTGTCCTGGTGCTGAAGACAGGGCCTGCCAGGAAGTCTGTCTAGGTGGCTGTGGCATAAGGTGGACACTGGTCATCTGGTGGAGGGTGGACACAGACCTCATCTGTGCTGTACTCGTATTCATATCAGAATTGTGCTGCAGTTTACGGAAAATCTTGCTCCAAATGTGCATGGAACATGCTTTCACTAACAGGTTACTTGTGGTTTACCTGACATTCAAATTTAACTGGACATCCTGTATTTTAATTGGCAAAACCTGGCCAGTATGGGAGGGGTGGCAGGGAAGGAAGACCTGGCACAGTCCCCACAATGGGGCTTGTCATCTGCTCCAGAAGCTGTGTCTGTGGGCACAGAACAGAGGTATTCAAAAGTGTAAGGAGACCTGTGAAGGTGGGCTGAGGACTCCTCAGGGGAGACTCTGCGAGGCTTACTCTGGCCCCTGGAGGTGTTATTACAGAAGCAGGCCCTCCCGCTGCCCGTGCCCTTGTGCCCAGGAAGTTGGGAGGTTATGTTAAAGACCCACGTTTGGACTGAGTTTAAAGTCCTGATGAACCACCTTCTAGCCATATCCTCCAGCCCTGCAACCCCAGTGGGGTTGCTTATAAAAATACCTGCCTCATGCTGCTGTGAATCTGCTAGGCATATACTCAGTGTGGTTGTTGAGTCGCTCCTCCTCCTGAAGTGTGTGCTATATTATTTGCATACCACTTAGAATGCCCTGGGTAAGTTTGTTCACTGGCTTCTGCCTGAAGGCCAAGACTGGGCCTCCCGAGTGCCATGCCTGTCTTCTGCTGTCCCTCCAGGTGTTCACGCGAGAGTGCATGAGCCACTACCTAAGAGCGTTCAACTTCCTGTGGAGAGCCAAGCGCATGGAGTACATCCTCACGGACATCCGCAAGGGGCACATGTGCAACGCCAGGCTGCTACGGAGCATGCCAGGTAAAAGCCGGCGGAAACGGCCAGGTGGCTTGGCCACAGGCTGAGCGCAGCGATGAGCTGAAAGAGACTCGCAGTTCGGTTCTGAACTTGGAATTCGTGGCATTGCTTGTTTTGATTTCAGTGCATACGAAAAGAAACTTGAGTCACACCAGATTTTGTTCAGATGCGAGGTTCCTTTTAAAACGACATTTGTGCTTTGCTAGTGTTCATGTGTATTTTAATGACTATTTTTTAAGGAAAAGCATTTAATAAGTCACTGCTCATTTAATATTTGCCTAGTGCCCTTTCTCTCTGGGAATTTCTTTTGTGTTTTATTTTGTCCGTAAAACCAGGATATGGAAATGTTTTACATTACATAAAAATGTCTCGGTATCAGATAGTTAAGATTATTTAATGTTACAAATATTGAATGACTTCAGTTATGAATAGTTGCAAAATCTTTATGTCAGAATCAATTTGGTCAAAACCTTTGAGAAAGTAGTTTAGTAAACGTGTGTAAAGAACCACCAGAGTGCATATGCCCTTTGATCAGTGCTGTGGTGAGAATTATTACAAATAGAAAGGTTTTCAACAAGCGCTCATGATCCCTACTTCCTTACTAAGCAGCATCCAGAGTTCCCGAGCAGCTGCTCACAGAGCGTCACAGCCTAAGCCCGTGGCTACGGGAGTGAGCAGGTCGTCCTGGGTGTCTGTGGGACTTTCTGTAGAGTCCTGGTTGGAGGGGTCCTGTGAAGCAGCTGAGAGGAGTGGGGGTGGGGGACGTTTTCTGATAAGTCCTTAGTGATGGTTATAGATGTAGACATCACCTTCAGTGTCCACCCATTTGTCAGCATGGGCTGGCTTAGTGAGGGCTCCGTTATGGCCAGTCCCCATCCTTCCCCTTTGTTCCCCTTTGGTTTTTACCACGTGTCACAGACATGTGCTGTCAGAGCTCCCTCTGGCACTTTCCCTTCTCTGCATTCTTTACAGAGCTGTCAGAATAGTGTTACCAGCTGGCTTTAGAAGTCAGCCTTTGCTCTGGATTCAGACCACTTCGAGGTAGTGCAGACTTTGTCCCTGTGTTGGTCTTCCTGCACATTAGCTCTGGAGTATGGTAAGTATTGGTGGTTGGGTTCCATTCTTCTTATGTGAACATTGCCTTGTCAGTGTCTGACTTTGATTTTCTTTTATTGTATGGAGTGGTCACCAGTGGGTTTGGTATTTTATTTGAACAAAACTTATAAGCCTCTGGTCAGTTTCCTTTGAATGTGAGAATATCAAGTTAATTGCATCACTGGGTCCTTCGAAATGTCTTACAGGACATTTGTCGTTGTGTCATACGTGCCTTGGGCACAGTATCATTTTATCCCTCCACGTTTCCACTTATATAAAGAATGTCATACACAGTTTTGTGAGCGTGTCCTTATGTGTCACCCTGACTATTTCTTCAGATGAGCTGGAAGTGGAGCTGACTTCAGTTTTTCTTTTGTTTACTATCTTTATTTTAACTCTGGTATACATTTTCAGATTGCTTTACAGGAAACATGTACCAATTTAGTGTACATCCCAATTACCACAGCTCTATTCCTGTATTTTTGTCAATGTTGGCTATTAACATTCAAGTAAATTGTGATTTTGATAAAGGGGAAATGAAGGTTTTTCTGCCCCGTTGGCCCTTATTGGATATGAGACTGGGCTCTTATGTTGTCAAGGAAAAGGAAGAATGTGCTCACGTTCACAAATAGTGAGATGAAGCTTGCACAGGTCCCCATCTAAGTTCTACCCAAAAATCACATTTCCTTTCATTCCCTTTGGGTTTTAAGACATTTACTTACTTTCAACGTTTACTTTGTTGATACAAAAGGTAATGTTTAGACCCTGAGTTTTCAGACAGCCACAAAAGAATGTTAATACTCTGAAGTGGTTGGTGATGGGACGTTCGCCAGTGGTGGTTTCATGTTGACTGTTCAATATGATAGAACTCTGTTGGTTAAAAGAATTGTAGATGATAATATTTAAAATTAGTTTGTACAGTCTCTCACCAAAAGACTAAAATGATAATCAAACGTCCTGATTTTTCTCTACCTTTTCTAACCTTGTTGAATGAAACCATGCTGCTTCTGATAGTTGGTGTCTGGAAAGAGACCCTGTCACCTGCTGAGGGACTGTCTTTCCTCCTCTGTGTGCACCTGGGGGCCAGTGGCCAACCAGGCAGGATGCTACCCAGTAGAGGGTGCTGTGGATACCTCAGTCACATTTCCTTCTTTTCTAGTGGAGAACAGTCCAAGGCCCAGCTTGTGCAGTGGCTGGCCCAGGTGCCTATAACTACATGTCTGTGCTTAATGGTTAACTCTCAAGTTTGTTTGAAAATAAAAATGAAAGAAAATGAGTCAAGAATTAGCTAACACGAAAGGAAGATGTCAGGAACGGCTCTAACATTTAGTCTGAATGCGGGAAATCGGGTACTTAATAGAGTTGTTGAGAAGACTGAAGGGACTGGTGCTAGTCTGGGGCACAGCTATCCCTAAGGGCAAGAGTCCTGTCACCTGAGCTGCAGGTGTCGCTGCCTGGATTGGTGGATCAAGACCTGCTTTGTGCCTGCCACAGCTGCATGGAACATGGATGTCACAGGCTAGGGCCTCATTTCCTATGAGCTCAGCTGTGTGGAAGAACCTAAGTTCCATCTGGCCTTGGAGCTGTTGAGAAACCTAGATGAAGGCACACATGTCAGTTTTCTAATCCGCACACTACGGAAGCCTAGTGGGAGGAAGTCAGAGTGGGCACCCAAGAGGCAGCCTACTCTGCCCCTCACCTGCTGCAGTGGCTGGCACTCCTGTCCTCACTTAGCACTGACAGTAAAAAACCAGTAAAGTGGGAAAGTCAGGTTGGCTCAACTGTATATTGAGAAAGAATGATAAACGGAGGTTTAACAGTTCATGCCGAGTTCCTTTGCTTGTCTTTTAACTTCCAAGGTGAGCACTGTTTTCCTGTCCTAACCTGTCAGAGTGCATCTGAAGCTGCCGGGCCACAGTGATGAGGCTGGTGTACTGGACATGTGTGTAGCTGTGGCCACAGCTCTTCTTGGTGCACTCAGACTGTACTTTATGCCTCACGGTGTGCTCACTTGCCTTTGGAAAGACTACACCATGGTTCCCTATGGAGGGAAAAGTCGCCATGTTTGCAGGAAGGTGTAGAAACAGCAGTGGGCCTTTGTGAAGCAAATAGCCAGAATTCTACTTTTCCCTTTAGAAAGCAGCACCATGTGCCTTGTGCTACCTGGAAGGATGGTGTACGCAAGCCACAGGTGCTGAGGCCCATGGGGTCACACAGGGTCAGGCCCCGCAGATCACTTACGCCACAGGCCTGCTGTGTAGTTGTTACCACCTAATAGGCAGCTGTTTTCTTTGTGGTGACATGCATAAAATGACGCCTTACACTTGAGATGGTACCTTAAACGATGAGTTGAAGTTTTCTTCTTTAAGATGTTTTTGTGTGTTTATCTTGTTTCATGTTTGCTGTGTGTGTGTGTGTGTGTGTGTGTGTGTGTGTATGTGTATGTGTGTGTGCACGCGCGCGCATGCCTGCATGCCTGAGCTAGCGCCAACCCAACTGTGTAGCCTAGGTTTGTTTTCTTAATCTTCTGCCTCAGTTTTCCCATCCAAGAGTTGGGACTGGTGATGATAGGGTTGTCGGGATTAAGTTTGTGTGGAAGTCCTTAGAACAGTGCCCAGCCGGTATAGAGCACTGAGCGGGGGCAGCCATGTTTGAGGTGTCATGCATGGCACACAGAATGGTGTTAGGAGAGAAACAGGCATGCAGACAAATCCTGGTTCTTAAAGTATCTTGAATCAATAGCCTTGAGAAAATAAATCGGGTGGGAACTTTGATCAAGTCCCTCTTAAAGAGAGTATAAATACAGGCTTGGGGAGGAGATACTAAAGCTCTGAGAACCTGTTCTAGGATATTTCTTAAAAAGGAACCTGATAGGACTGGGTGTGCTGATTCAGGCCTGTAATCTTAACTACTTGTGAGGTGGAAATTGAGAGGATTGCAGTTCCAGGCCACCCTGGGTAAAAAGTTCTTGAGACTCCATCTCACTAATAAAAGCCGAGCATGGTAGTGCACACCTGTCATGCCAGCTGTGCAGAAAGGGTAAATAGGAGGACTGTGGTCCAGGCCAGCCTAGACATAAACACAAGATCCTATTTGAAAAATAACAGCAGAAAGTGATACTGTGCCTGCTCAGTAAGCGTAAGGTCTTGAGTTCAAATCTCAATACCCCCCCCCCGCCTCCCAAAAGAAAACCTCCAGAATTCTGACGCTTCAGGGCAGCACTCAGTGCTGTCTATAGCGCATTTCCTGGTACAGGTGCTTCTGGCTGAGGTGCTTGGACAACATACAGAGCTGCTGTGTACAGGTCACATGAAATTCTTCCCATAGCCGTTAGAGGGCGGCAAAGAGCGAGGACTAGATCTAAGGTTCTAAGTGAGCTGCAGGTGTAACCTGGCAAAGTGCACTTCATGTGTTTATTGCATCTCTGTGCCAGTTGTTTGTGGGGCAACCATAAAAACATTTTAAGCATGTATGTATTTAAATTTTTTGGTGATACTGAGATTTGAACTCAGGGCGTCCTGCTTGTTAGGCAGACACTCTACCCCTTGAGCCACTCCACTACCCCTAAGCATAATTTTGCATGTGTTTTCAGGGTGGGAGAGCCAAGGGGAGTTTCAGGCATGAGCTGTGTTTTCAGGGATTAAAGGAATGAGTTGTGCCTTGTGAATGAAGTTTGTACATGTTAAAGTTTCAGAACCTGAAAGCAGCTAGAGTTCAGAAGTTACTGTGCAGAGTCCTTACTAACTCCTGCCAGGGCACAGAGCAGGTACTGGGTCTTCAGATTCACTTCCAGCAGGCAGTGACCTCATGGTTAGGCCTGGTGTTAGAAGAACTTGTCCTCTGGGCTCCTGTTAGACACATGGAGAGATGGCAGTTTTCCTAGAAAGAAAAATGTGGGAAAGAAAGAACCTGTGTTAGCATTCGCTAAGTTGGCCTGGTCATGGAAACTGTTTGACAGGATGTGGATTTGAGCACTGGTGAGTGTAGATGAACCCGGTCTGAGATCTAGGTCCCCATCCACTCAGTGTATGCCTATTGAGGGTCCTCTTGGTGCCAGCTGTTGCTGGTTTCCAATCATGGATAAGCTCCCTGGCTCAGGAATATTGCCTAGTGGGGTAAGACATGTTGACATAGGCACTTAGAATATGTATACCTTCCTAAGTTGTTTGCTCAGAAAAGATGAAATACTATGGGAGGAAAAGGAGGAGGCCTCTGGCAGATGTGGGTTAGGAAAGCTCCAGGGCCAGTGGGACCTGCCTTGTCCCCATCATACGGGGTGGTTGGAGAAGCTCCAGGTGATGGTGATGTGAACCTCTGCTTGCACAGGGCACCATGGCCTGGGTGGTGTGGCACAGAGCATGAAGATGAGGGGTCAGCAGAGGAGACAGACTCAGGTACAGCTGTGGAGAGCCCTGGGCAGGGCGAATGCCAGTGCCCCTGGTAGTTGCTTTCCTTCTTGAGGCTCGGAGAATTTGACAGAGAGCGGCCACTGCTCCTCCTTGTCTCTCCTCACAAAGGGGCACATTAGGTCATAACAGCAGAATGCCCCCCAGTGCACCTAACCTTAGTGTTTGGAGGCAAAGTTGGTGACCTGGGTGCTCATTTCCCAGGGCTGCTGCAGTGAAGCACCATAACTGTGTCACTCAGAGCAACAGACGTCGCTGTATCCCAGGTCTGGAGGCCAGAAGTACAAAGGGAAGGTGCAGCCAGGCCCTGATTGCTCACTCTGAAACTTGTGTGAGGATCCTTGCCTCTTCCAGTGGCTGGTGTCTACAGGAGTTCTGCCTCCTCTGGGTGCATCATCCTCCAGTCTTTGCACTGCTGTTACATGAACGTATTTGCCCTGAGTGTTTTTTTTAAATGAGAACAAAAAGATGAGAGCCCACCCTAATGACCTCATCTCAACATGAAAGAAAGTGCACATCGACACTGTTACTTTTTGTACACTTTAATGTTCCACTTCCTCGTGTCTCTCTTAAAAAGGGGCAGGGCTGTATTCTTGACTGTCTGCCTAATAAATCTCTGCTTATCAAGGCTGCTGATTGACGGCATCAGAGAGGTAACAGACTGTTCAGTGTGACCAGGTAATTGTCATCTTGTAGTCATTCCACTGATGATCCTGCCTCTGAGTTGAACATCACGTACATTAGTGTGAGAATATTCCCATGTCATCTTTGAACAGAAAGTTAACAGTGAGCACAGAGAGCAGGTCCCTGGTGACCTTCCAGCCCTTTGAGGTCTGTGTTCTCTGAGCACACAGCAGTCTGGCCTTGCCTTAATGCCTCCATGGGTTTACTTTCCTTGCGGCTGACAAGGCCACAGCAGGTTCTTAAAGAAGTGCCTTTTGTCTCCAGACAGCTAGGGACAGAAAGTGTTTTACACACAAGAGGTGGACTAATTTATAAAGAAGCCATAAAATAGAGCTTGTGTTTACTCCATGATGCGGTGTCTTTGTAAAATAAAATATTTGTATTTACCTTTTAGATATGATTGTATTTTGTTTCATGCCATTCCTCTTTAGGTCCTTATATCTGGTAACATAATATACTACTGACTTCTGTAGCTGGGACCTTGTTTACTTGAAGAGCACAGGTTGGTGGTGGAGATCTCATTTCCTGCTGAAGGGTCAGATGTTTGGAGCTCTAGAGCTTTTCAAACGCTGGCTTGCAAGTGGAAAAGCAAGAGTGCTTCCTTGCTGATGTCACCTTGCCTTTCTTGCAGAGTTCTCTGGGGTGCTACACCAGTGTCACATTCTGGCCTCGGAGATGGTGCACTTCATTCATCAGATGCAGTATTACATCACATTCGAGGTACGGCAACCCTCTGAGTTCAGTGCAGCTCAGTAGTCCCACAGGAACTTCCCAGTGGGACAGCCTCCACTCATCCTTCCCAGGTGCTTGAGTGCTCATGGGATGAGCTTTGGAACAGAGTGCGGCAGGCCCAGGACTTGGACCACATTATTGCAGCACACGAGGCCTTTCTGGACACCATCACCTCCCGCTGTCTGCTGGACGGGGACTCCAGGGTAAGGCATTTAGAAACCAGAAACTCACATCATAAGCTGCCTTTCCTGGGTTCCCGTCAATTGGAGAGTTACAGATTGCCCGATGCAGCCACGTTGGTAATAACTAAGACAGGTGTATTAAGTCTCATGAGAAGGTTCGCTGTTTCTGAACAGAATTGGAACAAAACGGCACACCCAGGATGTGCTCTAAATGCCTGAGATGGATGTGAAAACGGGGGAAGTGGTAATGCCCTATTGTGGGGTGGAGTGGGAAAATCCATCACAAGTGATGGTCTTGAGAGAGACCAAACATTTAAAGAGTAAAACTAGAGTCCTGGTTCTCCCCTCGCTGCTCCCGTGCTGTGTACACTACACAGGTGCTTTACCCAGCCCTGTCTCCATTTTCTTAACCCAGGTACATTTTACCTTCATTAAGTCAGTAGTATCTGGCTATGTGCATTTGAAAATAGACTCTTTATCAGGTAAACCTGGGGCATTCCCATGGACTTAGGCTTTTAGTTGACACGCTTTTCCTTTAGGGAAGTGAACATTTGAAGCAGTCAGAGGGCCTTTTGCCTTCCTTCCTGTTACTAGGCCTAGTCCACACCAGGCTGCACTGCAGGGGCTTCAAAGTGTGAGGTTGGCAGTGTGTCTGTTCAGCATCCTCAGGACTCTACATCTGGTAATCAGATGTAGTAACAGCCCATGGTTCTTAGGCCAGGTGTGCCTGTCCCTACGGCAAAGTCACTAGCGTCAGAGGTAGCAGCTCTGCATGTGATAGACCCAGGCTTGAGTTCCACCTCATAGCCCCTGTTTTGAAGGGGGCATATATTGGTCTCTGTCTAGCAGGTTTGTGAGAATCAAGTTGCATGGGTTGTGGAAAATGTTTACCATGGTAACTGTCATCGAGGTTTAGCTGCTAAGCAAGTGAAATTGTGTGCCAGTGTGCACATTTGTGTGGGCACGTGCATTTTACAGATGGAGGACAGTTACACAAGTCTACTAGATTTAGATTTAATGCTTTTCAGCAGACAGTACCACTCAGGGCCACACACATGCTGTCTGACTGTGGCAAACAGCAGCCTCCCAGGCACTGTGACCCAGGGCCTAGCCCACTTGGAGATAGGAGAGTCTGTAGCAAACAGTTCTTGCTTCTGGTCCCCATCGCTTCATTATGGAGCCCTGCCAAAGGCTTCCTTCTTCTGAAATCCTGCCTTTTCTGAGGCTTAGTTTGATAATTGGTTTAAAATAATAGCTAGACTTTTTGGTTTTTTGGAGGGAATTTTTTTTTTTGAGGAAGTTCTCACTGTGTAGCCCAGTCTGGCCTGGAGCTCAAGATCCTCCTCCTGAGTGCTGGGATTACAGGTGTGCACACCTGGCTCTATAGGTTATTTGTTTGTTTTTAAAGAAAGAAACACATTATATAAACCAAATTAAAGCAATTTGTTATTGACAAATAACTTTAAGTGTAATAGTTTCATTATATGGCTTTCTATAAAAACCAAGGCTGTTCTGATATACGTAACTTTAAAGTTGCAGGTGTGTATGTTTTACACACCATGTAAGTTGAGGTGTGACCTCAGTGTGTGACCCCCTGAGCTAACCGTTTGCTTTAGTGCATATCATTTAGTCACCTGGATGGTAATTCATTGTTCCAAACAATAAATTGTTTAGTACATGATTGCAATAGAGAAAAAAGCAAACAGTAAAGCCTTACGGAAAATGAAAACAAACTGTGTATGCTGGAACATGCCTGCAATCCCAGCTTCTTGGAGGCAGAGGCAGGAGAATCACAAGTTTGAGTCCAGTCCAGGCAAAGGTAGTGGGACCCTATCTCAAAATCAAAATACAAACAAAAGAGTGGGTATGTGTGCAAGAGGTAGGGTGTTTGCCTACTAAGCATGAGGCCCTGGGTTCAATCCTTAGGACTATCAAAAAGGAAAAAATAAGCGGGAGTGAAGGATGGAGGAAGGAAATCAGTTCTCTGGCTCCTTCCCCTCATCTGCCACGTTTTTCTGTTGTTGTGTGACCATCCTTAAATTCCTAAAACAAATTTCATAGCCAGTTTTTTTTTTTTAAAAGCTTGCCAAGTTTCCTTTTAACATTTTACTAAGAATTTCTTTTCTCTTAGTTTCCATATCTGGTTTTGATATATTTCCAAAAAAAAAGGTGCTTTCCTATTCTTTGTGAATCTTTAGAAGAATTCCACTGACTCAGCTGCTTATTTTCTGACTTTAAAATTCGGGCAGGACTTCATTTTTGCGGGGTGCTGTGAGAACTGGAGGATGCTTGCATAGAGAGCCTGACGTTACATCGTCAGTCTCACACACAGCTCTTGCGGCCTGTTATGCGGCCTGTTGCTGCCACCGTGCCTGGGACTGGATGGTTAGTTAGAAAAGTTTAATTAGCTCGCAAATTTGGGAATCTAAGAGCATGGTTGCCCACATGGGCTCAGCTTGTGGGACGGGCCAAGTGCTGCTTCCCCTCAGGTCAGAGGAGCTGCGCTCTCCAATAACCTGCTCCTGTGACAACGGGTCCGGTCTCACAAGAAAGACTAACCAACTTTTTTTTTTAGTTTAATTTTTGAATTAGTGTACATGATAACATGGGGGATTTCATTGTGATAATTCTATACACGTGTACGGTATACTTTGAACAGGCTCACTCCCTCCGTAACTAATCCCCTTCAGAGCCTGATCACCTCATAAAAGTTACAGCACTTCTCAGCACTGTTAAGCTGGGTGCCAGGCCTCCTACACACACATTTAGGGGGACAAACCATTTTTAAGTCATAGAAGGCAGTAAGTATAGCATTATAGTATCTTGCCAGCCCTTTGTCCAATGCTGTTTAGAACTAGGTGTTCAGTAAATGCTGGGCATCTGTGAATAGTTAAAAAACTGAGAATTTGACTCGTGTTACTTTATTGTATCGCTTTTGTCAGTTTTCTGTTGCTGAAACAGAATACCTGAGACTGGATGGTTTATAAGAACAGAGGTTTGTTTTGACTCATGGTTCTGGAGGCTGCGTGTCCTGCTTGGCTTCTGGTGTAGGCTCGTGCTACATTACAACAAGTGGCCATGTGTGGGAGAGTCAGAACATGAGGGTGGTCTTGCTTTAGAACAGCCCACTTGTGAGAGTGAGGACTCCCGCCTGTAGGATCCACTGCTCCCCAGAGAGCAGCATCAATCCCATTGTGAGGGTGGAAGGAACTCATGATCCAAACACCTCTCAAGGTCTCACCACTGTCACAGTGGGGACCAGATTCCAGCGTGATTTAGAGGAGACAAACTGACAAATGTCTTTTCTAATTAGAAAGACTTCATTTTAAATACTCCGTAAGTATGTTGAGGTTCTAGTCATTAAAAACATGCTCATATGTTTTCAGGTACTCTTAAACCAACTCAGAGCTGTGTTTGATCAAATTATTGAACTTCAGAACACACAAGACGCAATCTACAGAGCTGCTCTGGAAGAACTTCAGAGACGACTGCAGTTTGAGGAGAAGAAGAAGCAGCGTGAACCTGAGGTATGGCTTTATACTGGTGCTTATCATTTCAGCTGTGAACTTGGGTCTTGCCACAGCGGACATAGGGCCGCAGATCACTTTCCTGCTCAGGGTCACAAGCCGACGCAGAAGTTTGAGTGCTTTAAAGATGGAGTGGCCCCTCTCACCATCACCGCCATGTTGAAAACATAAGTAAGGTCAGGAGTGTTCACAAGGTCTCAGATCTCAGTGTGAGGGAGGCCTTGTCTGTATTGGGGTCTCCGGAGTGGCTCAGCACCGGATCACTGCAACTGGAAGCTGGGAGCTCAGACACCAGGACTTACCTTGAAAATTCATGAACCAGGTTTCTGCGCTGAGAGATAGTTCCAAGTTGCCTTCCTAAGGCATGCTCTTGACAATGATCTGGAATTAGGAAGACCAGGCAAGTTTGTCTGTTTATGGGATTTCTATATTTGCTGTGGTCTGATATTAAAACTCAAAAACGAACAAACGTGGTAATAAGTATGGACAGAAAAATCCTAGATGCAGTGTGAGTGAACATCTACATAAATTGAGGCATTTACCAAGTTTCAGGTTTGTGTCAGGAATGCAGGAGTTCACCATGTTAATTGATAGGAATTCCGTGATTCCTGTTTACGCTGCTAAAAAGGATTCAGTCAGATTCACCATGACTGGAAATGCTCTGTAGAAGCAGATGGACAGTGTCAGGAAGACAGTCAGAGTATTCCCACTGGGGTTGAGGGTGTGAGGATTATGGGGCGCTGGAACCCACTGCTTCTCCTCTTCCGTTTGTTTGAATAACAAACATGAGCAAAGTGATGCAGATGCAGCTGGTCACTACAGCGCTGTTGTCATGAAAGACTGGTCCACTTGGAGTGAGTAACAGATTGCTATGTGTTGAACAGCACAGTGCCATAGTTTTTAAAAACAGTGACGTGTCAGAAAATTAAATTTGGTACTGCTGGTTCTTCAGGGCCAGTGGGGAGTGACAGCGGCAGAGGAGGAGGAAGAGAACAGGAGGATCCGAGAATTTCAAGAATCCATACCAAAAATGTGTTCACAGTTGCGGATATTAACACACTTCTACCAGGTGCGTGTTGGAGAACAAGCTACCTTGCACTTGAGTAGATGTGGGTACTGGGCATCGGGGGCACTGGGGAGCCCTTGAGGAGCAGGTGGACCCCTCAGTAGACGCTGCCTGCCTGTGTTCATCTCAGGGCAGCCGGGCCGCCAGGAAGAGAACCCGACAGGTGTGGGTGTGGGGCTGCAGCATTTCAGGCTCCAGGTGGCTGTGCTGTCAGTCACAGTGGGACAGCAGCTCCTGCTTCTGACCCTTGCAGACACGTGCACCCTTGTACACGTGCACATATTGGAACTGGCTGAGAGAGGGAGGCTGATGTGCTCTGCCTATGTTTGCATTTTGTGGCCCATGTCTTGTTCTTCCATTCAGTTGTGGTAACTGATTGGAAGGAGACACCAAGCACTGACCCCAAGCCTTTGAAACCCTGGTTCCATATGCTGGTGGGGCCTCATGGTTCCAGTGGAATGTCACCTGCCCTGTTCCCTAGTTTGCTTTTAGGGTCTCATGGTTTTTAATTTTACATTTTCCTCATAAATAAGGGGAATGTTTGCCTCTTTGACAGGTGGTCTTCATTGGCTTGTTTCAAAAGTGATGTTTATGACTGTTCAGTACAGAAATACTGTACCTTGTGGGTGTCTGACCTGGAATATCTTCGTGACCCTGTGCTGTGTGTGGAGTATTCCTGATTGTAATAATGGAAGCTGGTGGTTAGGTCCATACTCTGAACCGTTGTGTAGCTACGAAGTAGTAATGTGTAATTCCAAAAATTTGCCTGGTGCTCATTTGTATGACTTTCTGGTTTATAGTTCCCTGATGGAGTTGATACATTTCTGGGAGTAATCTTAGCGCAGTCCCGTTTTACTCAAATTGCAGTGTCCATCCATTGTGGCCATTCAGTGCTTCTTACCGCAGAACCTCTGCTCTCTGCAGATCTGCTCATCATGCCTGCTTGGAGCTAGTTTCATACATGGTGATTCCAGTTCATTGCTTACAGGAAGCCACTGTCTAGATTTGGCAGTTTAATTCCTGAGGGGCTCCCATCCTCACCATGGAAATGCAAGCTGATTGCACGCACATGGCAGTCAGGTTACCGAAAGAGAGGGAGAGGCGGCTAGTGAGCCTGTAGCGATCAAGGAGGTCCTTCCTCTGTGGAGGAGGACTTCTCCAGGGCTGCCAGAGTGACAAGATGAGCAGCAGTGTCCTGGAGCAGATGTGGGTGTGCTGACAGGGAAGCCAGCTGTGGACTGCACGGGATGGAGTGTGCTTGCTGAGTGACTCTGAGCCCTGAATAGACAGTCATCTTGTCATCTTAACATCTCAGTGAACTTCTTTATAAAATCCTTCTGATAATGTGCTCATAGTAGCCAGGCCGTCCTAAACCTCTCCAGGAAGGCCTGCCTTTTGGTTCTAAGCTTGGATCCAGTTCTCATGCTTCCATGATCTTCCCTTGGGGTGGAGGATGATGATTGAGGGCACCTCACAAAGTGTGAGAGATGAGCAGTGCAGCAACTTTTGTTTTCGGAATACAAAAGAATTGGCTACTTTAGCATCAGTTGCCTTACTTGTTCTTGTGGAGCTGAAGGGCAGATGGGGCGGGTCAGCTGGCCAGTTCCTGCTTCCCAGAATCCTAGGATGCTTGCTTCGCTCAGTTGTGTTTAGAGCACAGTAGTTCCTCCTGGTGTGTGCAGCATTGGCTGAGCGTTGCCAGGGTTCCAGGCTCTGTTTCCTGCACACCTGCCTGGCAGGTGTCTGTTAAAGGCTTGAGGGTTGGAAGGAGAACAAACCCAGAGGGGATTGGGAGGGGTGAGTGTGTGGCTGGTTCTTTTTAGAAATGAATACTTTGTTCTGTTGTTTCTTTTTAGGGTATTGTGCAGCAGTTTTTGGTATCATTGACGACCAGCTCCGATGAAAGTCTGCGGTTTCTTAGCTTCAGGTTGGACTTCAACGAACATTATAAAGCCAGAGAGCCCAGGCTCCGTGTGTCTCTGGGCACCAGAGGGCGGCGTAGCTCCCACACGTGAAGCACTGTGTCCCAAGGCGCCGCAGATGCTGCTGTTGCTAGCATTATCAGACATCGGTTCACATTCAGAGCCTCCAGGCAGCTGGCACGCTGCATTTGGTCACCTGTCTGCCCAGGAGGCCTGCAGTGTTTCAGTGGCATGGCGTCTGGTAGAATTAAAGTCATGTTTTATACACTGGAGTTGAATGTTTGTGATGTCGCTAAGCTAAACAGGCTGGCTCGTGCTGTTCAGATTCCTCCTGAAAGTCTTCATGTCAGGAGACACTGTGATGTCAGGCTTCTTAAGTTCTCCATGACGTAGTTCATAGTTGTCACTTTAAAAAAACAAAACAGCTTCCTTTTAGCAAAAACTCGGGCAGTGGTGTCTTCATAAGTTAAGATGGTAACATCTGCGATTTTTTAAAATCCTCTTTAGAGGACTTTTTTTTGCCATGATGCCGTTGTTCCCGCTTAAGGAGACACTGAGAGCATCCTATTTTATTTTTGTTTGGTGTTGTAATGTACTGACCCACGGGAGGACATTTCTCAACGCCTCGCCTTCATGGTTCTTACGTTCTCTTCTTCCAAAGTTTACATTTTCATATTTAGTTTACTATTTCGGATAACTTGTAAACAGTACAGAAAAAAAATAGCCATGTAGAAGAGAAACACCCTTAAACAGTGCAACCCAGATTTCTGGAAACCACCAGGTGAAGCAGTGTGAGAATAAGAATGACTTAGACGTGAACCGAGTGTTATTTTCAATCTCTGACAAGCATTGAAAGAAGCCGACTTGAACAACAGGATTTCTTCTCCTTGCCTGCTTTTTCATTGTAAATATTTATACCACTCACCAGATGCTGGCGGAGCTGTTTTGTAAATATGTTACATTGGGTCACATAAATCTGCCTTTCTTATGTCATAAAGATGAGAACTTTGAGATTAAACAGTTCTTTCAGGTGCACCGCTATTTCCTGATAGCCTGTGACAAGACAGTTCACTTGCCAGGTCTGGGGTGATGCTTGCATTGGGTTTCATGTGTCACAGTATGGGAATTATTTCATTTGTGACACCAAGAAATTAGTCCTGGTGCGACTCTCAGCATGGAGCCAGGGGGAGTCCCAGCACTCACTGTCTGACAGCCACCTCTGATTCCTTGAGCTGTGGCCACGCTTTGAAATCACAGGTCACCGTGGAGTCCTGGCAATGCAAAATGAGTCCATGGTGAAGCCAGACGTTCTTAGGCTATAGATTTATTTTTAGTTTAAAAATTTGCAAACCAGAAACTGAAGCAAGTTTCTGTTCTACAAGGTGTCCTGGGAATTCTGGTGTCTCGTGTGTCTCGGGAGAACTGTCCAGTGCTAGTGACCACGGAGCCCGCTCCTGTCCTGGGTTATTGGAAGCATTGCTTCTAGGATTAATCCTCAGTGGAAGCCACTCTGGAAAACTCCACTTGGCTTTAGGGATTGAAACTCCATTTGAGCCCAAGTGTTGTCGGCAGTCAGACTAGAGCCAAAGGAGGTGGAGGCGGGAGCCTCCAAGCAGGAGCCTCCTGTCCTGAGCCGTGGCCTGGCGGGGTCTGGGGATCCCTCAGAAAAGATCGCTGTCTTGGATGGGTGTTTGTGCTAATGGCCCACTCAGTTTTACTGAGGTACAAATTACTAGCTACTGGAGGGTCAGTGGCAGGGTAGGAAGCATTTCGAGGTGGAGGCTATGTGGCTTGGGAGTGGGCCTTTTTCAGGAAGCCATGATGAGGGATGTTCTGTGTGGAGGGCCTGGTGTGAGGAGGTGCTTCGAGGATGTGCCTGTGTTCCGATAGAGTTAGTCCTGTGGCCCTGGGCAGCCCACATAAGCCAGTGAGGACACCTCTGGGCCCTCCTGGGGAGCTCAGTGACTGGTGAAGGCACACTGTCCTCAGTGGCAGGGCTGCTTCCCTTGCCCTGTGACCTGAGAGGTGTGACGCCCTTACCTACTGTCACCAGCAGGAGGATGGTGTCAGGTTTCTCAAGAATGTGTCCACACACACTAAAATCAGGGCAGAAGGGCATGACTAACCTGAAGTGACACTTGTAGGAAAAGAGCACATAAGCAGGTCCTAAAATTGCTCTCAAGGCCCAAAGCTGGTGGTGCAGATGGCCTGGCCTTGTGCGCTGACCACTGCCCTCTGGATTAACCTGTGCTCCAGTGTGACCTGGCTGCTGGCATTGTATTTGGTTTCAGAGCTTCAGTTTTAAGTGGTAAGGACAAACCATGCCTATCTGCTGTTGTAACGGTGTCTAACTCAGGGCGAGGTGACCCCATGAGCACAGCTGAGCCTTCTGTTAGTGGCTGTGATGAGGGGATGTGGGGATGTGGGGGCTACGAGCAGCATGCAGGAGCTTAGAGCTGGGAAACAGCAGGTGTGTGTGTGTCAGCTGGGAGAAAGGGATCCAATACACAGGTGGTAGGCCGAGCTTGGTTGTTTTTGTATCAGGCAAACTCAGACTGGAGGGGGCAGGGGTCTGCTGTGATCTGACTTGGGGGAAGAAAGGAGGAGGAGGAGGACTGGTTAGAGGAGCTTCCACCCTCTCTGAGACCTCTTGCCACTTGCAGAGAGATACTGATGCTAGTGATCCTGCTTGATGTTGATGGGGTATGAACCACTGGCACCATCTTACTGGGTAGATTTCAAACAACATAGGTACCCTAATTCTGAGGTAATTTAGTCATTTTTATTTTTTGGATACTATGCATTTCATTTAGGCTTTCAAATTTGTTGGCATTTTTACACAGATGCTTTTATAATTTTTAAAATAGTCACGTGTTGTATTGTTTTGGTTTTTTGATTTTTGAGACACATTCATGCTAGGTAGCCCAGGCTGGCCTCAAACTCCGCATCCTCCTGACTGCTGGGATTCTAGGCAAGTGCCACCACACACCCAGCTCCTTTCTTTGTGTGTGTGTTTGTGTGTTGTTACTGAGGTTTGAACTTGGTGCCTCACATCTGTTAGGCAGGTGCTCTACCACTTGGGCCACGTGATCCAGCCCATTTTGCTTCAGTTATTTTTCAAATAGGGTTTCACAGTCTTTCGCCCTGTTAGCTTGGACTGTGATCCTTCTATTTACGCTCCATGTGGTTGTGATGACAGGTGTGCTCCACCACTTCCAACTTACTGGTGAAGATGGAGTCTTACTAACTTTTTGCCCAGGCTGACCTTGAAATCTTCCCAATCTCTGCTTCCTGAGTAAGGATTACAGGAGCGAGTCACCACACTTGGTCTCTTTTCATTCGTCTTCTCCTCCTCCCCACGGCCCCCGCCTGCCGTGTCTCCCTGTTCACAGTAGCGACCTGGCACAGGGCCTGGCCAAGGGCATGGGGTAGGTTTACTTTGCCTCTTTCTATGGTCAGTGTAACAACACAGCCTGGGCTGAGCACCAGAAGGTCTTCATTCTTAATATTTCATATGTATATTTTCTCTTTTTTCTTCCTGGTCACATTTATTGAAGTTTTGCTTACAGTTTAGGTCTTTCGAGAATTGTCTCTTTCTTGGTGGTTGTCATTTTACTAGAGATACACAGTTTAGTTTTTTTTTTTTGCTTATTAATTGCTATCTTATATTTACTAGCTTTCTCTTGGTTTGTTGTGTGATGAATGCTTATAGAATTTATCTTCTCATCTCTGACTATAAAGTGTCCTCTGCATATAATTTTAGCCATATTGTGTTTTTATGTAGGTCGCTTGCAGTGTCATGAAATTACATAGTAGGAATATACATTTCTGTTATTTCCTGTTGAGTTCAAATATAGTGAACAATTTCAAAACTTATAGGAAGTTTGTTTTTATCTTTTTGGAAAAGAATAAAAGAAAATAAAAAGTGCCAAGCCACTTATCGGAATATATCCTAAGGCTTACGTAGTGTGTAAGCTGGTGTGGTCCAGGAACAGAGCCACCAGCGGGATGGGAGCTCGATCAGCAGCGCCCATTGTTGAGGGACTGAGCATTCAGCAAATAAATGGTGTCAGGCAAGCCATCTGGGAAAAAATTTAAGCGCTTTAATAAATTCAGGTATGTTAAGTAGTTTAAATATGGAGAACCAGAGTTACTGGAAAAAAATGAGGCAGTGCTTTTATAATCTCAGGGCTTGTAACTTTTCGTTAGCATGACACTGAGGACGGTCACTGTAAGGGCAGAGTTGACAGAGTAAGATGAACTGCTACCCAGTGAGAAGTAATGTTAGGACAGTTGAGACCTAATTACAAGTGTGATGAAGTCTGAATTCTTAATTATAGCAGCCCTTTATACATGGAAGTAAAACCTACAAATAACTCGCAGCACGCCAGTAAGCAGTTTAAACCAGATGTACAGAGCACATGAAAGCAGACGTGTGGTCACAGCCTCACCAGCCTGGATATTTTGTCCCATGTGGGTGTGCCACCATGGCTGAAGTCTGCAGCTTGTTGAACATGGCCCTGTGCCATGTCCACAGTCCAGGTGGAGGTACATGCATTGTCCCACAGGTGTCCTTGTGACCCCCTTCCCTGGCCACTGTCCCCATCTCCAGGTGACCACTGATCTTCCTGACATGCCTTTCACATTTTCTGGAATTCTGCTTGTCCTCTGCTTTTGTGTTTGTCTGGCCTCTTCACTAAGCATCGTTGTTTTGAGATTCATGTCATATGTTGTCCGTATGATGTTCATTCCTGCACTTCCTTGTTGTCCCTTCTCAGTGACCGATCAGACTTTGCTTATCCATTCACCTGTGGTTGACTGTGGATATTTCCAGTTTTTTAATGTTATCAATGGAGCTGCTGCAAATGCTTGTCACAAGTCACTGTCTGGGTGAAGAAATGCCTTCATTTCCCTTGAGTAAATGCCTAGGAGAGCGGCCGCATCAGTGATGGTTTGTGCTCAGCTGTTCAGGAGGCTGTGGAAGGGGCTCTTCAGCCAGTTCACTCTCAGCAAAGGTGTGGGGTGTGCAGTGGTTCACTGCCCTCAGTGTTGAGGGTGGTCAGCCCCCTCGGTCTCAGGCACTTTAGTTGGTGCCTACAGATAGGTCGTTGTGGTTTTAACTTACATTTGCTAGTGCAATGGTGTTTAGCATGAACAACACCTGTCAAAATAGTTCCATTTTTATTAGGTTGTTTTCTTACTGGGTTTTGAGAGTTTTTCATACCTCTGGATAAGGTTTTTTTAATCAGGTAGTTGACTTGCAAATGTGTCCCGTGTGTGGCTTTTATGTATATCTTTTTTATATGAACATTTACCAGATGTTACACTTATCAGCATAGAGGTTTTTATTCATGTCCACGGTGAGGACAGTCTCCCACAGCTAAAATCTGTAGGATTGGAAACCCGACAAATGCCACCATACATCGAAAGTGTTGGGAAAGGCACGTGTTTTTCCTGTTGTCGGTGTAAGTACAAAGGACTCTTAGGGGAGGCCATGTCTACATTGTCCACAAGTGACAGAGGCCTCACCAGCTGTCAGCCCTGGCCGCGGCACTCATGTCCTCCGTCTGTCCTGTCCCCTCAGGTGCTGGCAAACTCTTGGAATGAGATGTGTGGTGAAGTACAAAGTATCTTCCGACTTTGAAACATTTAATATGAAAAAGAATGCAAAGTATTTCCATATTTTATTCATACTGATTACATGTTGAAGTGATAATATTTTGTATATATTTGGCTAAATAAAACAACATGATTAAAATTCCACCAGTTTGCTCTTACTATTTTTGTTGTGGCTTGTGTTTTATTTCTGTTGGGTAGTGCCTTTTCAAAGTGGCCATGGGTGTTGTCTGATGCGCTTCTCAGGATGCACAAGGTGGAAGATTTGGGGAGGAAGACCAGAGGCGAGACGCATGTCCATCACAGTGTCCAGGAGGCACTGGTATCCCGGTCTGGACCCTGGCTGAAGTCCTCCCGGAGAAGGACGGCTATGGTGGCCTTGGCTGTGCTCCACCTCTGCAAGGGCGAAGGGCCTGTTTTGGGATTCTGCCCAGGAGGTTGGCGTCTTCTCCCTCCTAGACTTCCTTATGCAAGCATTTGTTATGTCGGGATGAATGTCTGAAGACTTACTTTAAACTTTGCGTGATAGTACAATCCTGCTTTGTTTTGTTACTCAGATGGTCTTCAGTTTTTCTTGGCTGAGTTTTGATCACGTTTGTCTTTTAGAGAAATGGTTGATGTCATCTCAGTCGTTGAATTTGTGGGTGTGGTGTTGTCGGTAGTATTTTCTTACTCCTTTAATGTCTGTAGAAGTTCACGTTACTGCTGTCATTTCTGATAGGGTTAGCTGTTCTACTTGGTTGGTCTGGATAGAGATTGATCACCTTCACTGATCTCAAAGAAGCAGCTCTTGTTGATTCTCTTTATTATTTTTCTGCCCAGTATTTCACTGACATCTGAGTGTTATTTCCTTCCTTCTGCCCACTCTGAATGTTTCCCTTTTTCTTGAAATGGAAGGTGAGCCAATGGATTTTAAATGAGTCTCCATTCCACAAATTTTATGTGCCGTGATTTCATTTTTACTATAGAATATTTTCTTTCTCCCTCCCTTCCTCCTTCCCTCCCCCCTCCCCCTCTCTCTCTCTCTCCCCCATAGTTATTTAGAAGTTTATTTGGTTTGCAGACATTTTTTCTCTTACAGATTTCCAGTGTAATCCCTTTGTGATCAGATAAGGTCGTTCCTATAAGGTGAATCCTTCCAAATTTAGTGATACTTTAAAGAATGACCCTAAATAGGGTTTACCTGAGCACAGGATAAAGGGATGTTTACTCTGTGTTGTGACATGATTAGGGTGAGCCAGTTGATAGTATTGCCGAAAGCTTCTGTGTCCTTATTGGCTTCTGTCCACTTTCTGTGTTATTGTGAGAGGGCTGTTGAACTCTGACTAAATAAGGATTAGTCTTTCTGCCTGCATCTCTTTCCATTTTGGCTTCATGGATGTGGAAGCGCTGTTGCTAGTCTGTAAACATCAAGATCATGTGTCCTCTGATGAACTAACCTCTCCATTGTGATAGAGAGACCCTTCCGTCCCCAGTAATGCTCTTTGCTTTGTCATACCCCACCCCAAACTTCTCTAGATTCGCATTAATATCATCTGTTCTCTTTTAACCTGTGGTGACTTTCTATTTAGAATGGGCATCATGTGGACAGCATGTAGTTGGTGTGTGTGTGTGTGTGTGTGTGTGTGTGTTGTCCCATCCAAGAATCTCTGCTTTCTCATTGGAATCACTAGACTTTTTACATCAACTGTGATGATTCAGTGGGTTGGGTTTAAATCCGCCCTCTTCCTACTTATTTTTCCTCATGACTGAGAACCTTCTTGGTACTCTTGTCTTTAAATTAGGTGATTCATTTGGTGAAGGTCAAGTGTTCATGATGTACTATTATCAATTTGCACTTTAATATTACTAGAAAGGGAGGACTTCCACTTCTGGCTAAGATGGGAGAATAGAGACCAGGTTTACCTCCTTCCTGATACGAACAGAAACCCCAGAGAGACCAGCCTCTGAGTCAGGGTACAAACACCCGGCTGGGATCTGAGGTCTGTGTGGTTAGTACCTGAGCAGCTGCCCTGCTAATGGCACCTTACCCAAGATGGAGAGCTGGTACTCTGGGTGTCCTGAGGACAGAAGCTTGTTGGGCTGTGCTGGCTTCTCTACATCTGGGCAGTTGCAAAGTGCTTGTATGTCACCTGTGTGTACCAGGCCTGTTCAACAGTTTACCTATAACCCTGACAACCACCAGGAGAGTTTCCAAGTGGGGAGACTGAGGAGGTTAAAGGTCACCCACTGAGGCAGAGCAGCTGTGAGCACTCAAGCCCTCTGCCTGGCCCAGCCCGCATAGGCCAGTCTGGCAGATGTGACCTGCACTCTCAGTATTGGAGCTACCCA